TTTATCCAGTGATATAGAGGAAAATGAAACAAAACCTGGTCGTATATTTGGGTAGTGGCATCTGCACCTTGACAGTGTTTGCAGTTACACTTGAACCAAATTCAGCATATATCTTAAGAATCACCTCGGCCTGCAATTGCCATTTCACAGATGTTTAGTGAGTCCTAGGTGGGAAAATGAAAATATTTGACATAAAGGATGAAGGATGAGAAGAAGATTTTCTCTTTTTGTATTCTGAAAAAAATTGATGTAACCTTGAGGGGCCCTGCTTCTTCAATTAAAGCATTAATACGAAAAGGAGGCCTGAACTCCTGAGTCATACGGTAGTTCATTACAGGAAACTCACCATCTGGTGGTATCTACAATTAGCAGTAAGAGACAACCGTTAAACTGAGTAATCAAGAGGGAGCAAACCAGAACAGTGCTTTAATGTGAAATTGGATAACCCATAAAGCCACATTTTCATACACACCAGAGACAGTGTTCTGTCCACATCAAAACTATCAAGACGAACGGACTCATGGAAATTACAGTCATCCAATATCACGGCTCCAGGACCAGATGAACTGCGATAACCTGCTATTGAAAAAGGTTTATGCAAGCAGTCATAGAAACACATGAAATTTAAAGACCTAATCAAAGAACAATATCTCCTCATATTAGAACATAATAAACAGTAATCCCCCGATTATAATCAAATGAGAGAGGTTCTTTCTAAACTTAAATGACCACATCGAAAGAAAAAAAAAGGGATCCAAATTACAAAAGTACAACTGCACATCATGGTATGGTATCTAATTTCCAGAACCTTTAAAAAAAAAAAAAAAATCTCTTTACTTGTCTCTGAAATGAGGAAACAGGCAAAACCCAAAGCACAAATGTTCAACTGGAGAAATAAGCGATGAATTGGGGATGACAAAGACCCAAATAGAAGAGAAAAATACCGTATATCGGTCCTTGGCCCCTTCCTATGGCAAGGTCATCATTAAGAGCTAATCGAATTTCAGGATTGCCAGTAAGATAGCTTTTCATTTGTATGGTGCCATCAATTTCTGAAGTCAGTATGTATCCCTAAACAAATCACATATAATGTGTTAAAATGACTAATAAAATATACGACAAGCAAACTATTTGACATTGCAAATAAAGGAAACAAAAAGGAAGATTTAACTAGCACACACCATTTATCAAGAAAAAATTGTTGTAACAAGACTCATAATACTGCACTTCAACACCTCGCCACTCAAAACCGATCCTGGAGGGCTGCGAAACTAAACACTGACTAGCCCTACACATACTTTGATAACTTATTCTGCAGTAACTAATATCTTAACAAGAATAAAACTTTTCAGGCCAAAAAAAAAAAAGAAAAAACTACAAAATCATGCAAAACATTATCTCAAAATATCTAGCAATATAACCCACTTTGAGATGCTAGCTACAGCTCTTAAAAGGGTAAATCATCAGAGCATCAGGAAAGATATAAAATAATGGATTAAAGGCCAAGCCCTTCCATTTTACATTAAATCAAACAGTCTGTAAATAGATATCTTGTTAAATTTGATCGCACTTAGACTAAATATTTCTATGTTTTTGTGGAACTTTGAACAGTAACTATTCAGGCAATATTTCAAACACTCGTGAGTTCAGACAGATGAAACAAAGCCAAAATAATAATTATTATGGATTCGAAGTCACATTATGATACATGTACTCACACTGGAGCTAAAGGTGATGCTGATTTTCTCAATTACGTCAACAAAGATTTCCTCCCTATTTCTGCCCCAGGCTCTGTAGCTATAACTGATTTTGTGACAGCTATTCCTGGCATTCTTTTAGCCCTTTGCTGAAATCAATCAAATTTGAGGATTACTAGCATAAAGGGTGCAAATAATGATTATAAATAGAATACCATAAAGTTCCTTATAGAGATTACCGCAAAAATTGCAGCAGGTTCGAGAGGTGGCAAACGAGGAGCATCAACCACAAGTGGCTCATTGAAAACATAGGATTTTAACACCTCTGTGGATGTTGTTTGGACATAACCAAAGTCCTGGAAAAGAGAAAGTCATCAACTTTGATGTTAGCAAGGATTTCAAGGGGGAACTATACTTATTCACAACTCATCTTACAATAGCAGTAAAGCCGTATCATAGTTTGTGGTTGGGCCCTTTTCATTCTTTTCCGACAACTTTAGGTAGGTTTCACATTTCCATAACTGCCAGATCCATTTGGTGCAATTAAGAATTTAATAAAGAATCAGATAAAAAAGAGTATACGAGACTCACAATGACTTCATCAAGCAACTCATATACAAGCACAAAGTTCTTTCGTAATGTGTCTTCATTGAGAACTCCAAGGTAATCTTTAATAACACGAGCAATCCTTTGTAAAAGCTCTAAGGCAAAGGAAGGTGATATATTAACCCTTGTGGTTGCAACAAACAATAGTCCAACAACCTTCACATGGAAGTAGTTCACACCATCCACATTCTATCAACACAGAAAAAATCATGCATAAGTCGACATTTTATACCAGATAAGCAAAAGCATAGTGTGAGTGTGTGTGTATTCATATATTGTATAAAGGTTGAATGCATGAAAACATCAAAACACATGCCTTTCAAGGCACTTTCATGTTTGAGGATTGAGATTTAATACTATCAAAACCATCAGAGTCTACGAAGGCAGAATCTATCTCTTCTAGATTTTACATTCAACTGTTTTCTACTCATCAGATATGATGGTAGTTTAAACTTTAAAATGCACTTCCTGCTTCAGGAAAATAATACCTACAAAGACAGGTGGTGCCTCCTCCTGCCCATCCTCTTTCCAAAACTTTACTTTTCGGAAGAATATCTCTGCACTTCCATTTTGCACATCTCCACGATCTGCCAATTGCAAGAAATAGGCAGCCATAACCATTTAGGATTTGATAGCAATATTCTCAAAGTATTAGGATAGGTATAAGTAAAGAACTAATAAGAACTTTTGTATGATAACATACTCATAATTAGTCATATTGTTCTTAACTCCACTACGTTCACTATTTACAATAGCACTTGCACAGTATAGGTGACCGTATCTTCATATCTCATGCAGCATCATAGTTTAATACCATAAGATTCAATTTACTAGTTCAAGAACACATAAAATTCCAAGCAGCTTCAATCAAAAAATGAACATAAAAAAAACATATTGTGCGACATCTGATAAAGAAGAGAAAAGATAAACCAAGAGGCATCTGCCAAAAAAAAAAAGAATCACGGCAATTTCATGAATTCCTAAACAACCTTGTTGCTGGCGTTAGTAAAATGACGTCCAGATTCGTGGGACGCTAGACTCGGTATGATGATGACTCTTTGTCTAGATAACACAGAATGCACATTCAATTCCAAAAAGTTGTGCCATAGTATATTGACAGAGCTTAAATAACATGCTGAGGGAAAACTATACAACAGATTACACCAGTTATCAATCCAAACCTCATTCTTCTCTTGAAGTGCATTTCCACAAGCAATTCCAAACTATGTCAAAACAAACTAATAACCGGCGGTTTCCATTGTATTTGATTTCAAGGAAGACAGCAAGCTTTGAGTTTTTTTTTTTTTTTCAATCTTCCAGAGAAGTGATTAACTTAAGAAGATAATTCAAGCAAGATCTGGAAGTATAAACTGATATTTTTCATAAAAGAAGCTCATTATGGATCGGCAAGTAAAAACAAAGCCAAAAAAATATGAAAAACTAGAACGAGAACGTAATAAATACTTAGAAACGAAATTTATAATACAGTTTAGAGAAAACGTCGGATTGAACGGCATTAGATCCAAGAACAATGTATTCTGGAATACAAAATCGGGAAAGGAAAAGTACGTCCATGTGAGAGAGGAGGAGCTTACAGTCTCGAAAGACGATGTTATCGCCACGCTGGGACAAAACGAAGAACTGCGAGATCATGACTTCTTCGGCGTTAGTTCACGCAGGGTGCACGGTCAGCTGCTGCCTTAGCTATGGCTAGCTGTTTTCCTTTCCGCTGACGGGCGCGTTGCTGCCCGTGTTATAAAAGGATTTTCTCCCAGTCACACCCGCTGAGACAATTGCAGTGTTTTATTTTTCCCTTTGTGAAAATTCCTTCCCGTCCCTCGTAAAAAATTTCTTTTGGCAGTTAACTAAATCACACACATTTATTATTACATCCGGTCCTAATTATAAGATTTATTTAACTAATTTTAAGAGATTAAATAACTAAATTGAACTAGTTATTTGTTCTAAATAAATGTTGTCTTTATTAAAATATCCTTGTTAATCAAGTGTATTGACTAGAACTGTAATTATTAGAAGGACTAGAAAAAATTGAGTAAATATGAGAGATAAAGTGGATTGGAGTCTTATATTTAAGACCAAAATAAAAGTCAAACAAGGTGTTGTATTAAGGATCGGAGGTAGTATCTAAAGATTTCTAAAGGATTTATAGTGAAAGTGTTTAAAATAATTGATAAAAATTAAGTAGCCTTATGGGGATGATATATTAAATTAAAAGAACAAATCACATAATTTGTAGACGACAAATAATGCAATATAAAAGTTAAATCACTTTATATTAACATTGATTCGTTTTTTATATAACTTAGAGTATCTTTAAATCACTTTGAACTTGAAACTAATCTCTATCAGATCAGGAATATTAAGGTTAAAGTACTCCTAATAAATGCGTTGTTTAGAATATTCTCCTCCTTATAAGATGAAACCACTTACCATTTTAATTAACAATTTATTATTATATTGACATTAATTGTTAATAGTAGCAGTGATGACCATAAATAATTAAATATGCTCTGGGCATTCATCCCATAAACTCCTTTCCTAATGATTCATAATTATAAAAATACTAATTATGTATAGACATATTTTGAACTTTGAAGAGACTCTAATTCTAGTAATGAAAAGCCAGGTCCCTTCCCTCCGAGTGAGGGGGGGGGGGAATTAAGAAGGTCGGTAGGCTTTGATGCATCCGAATTTTTCATCTATATTATTAAGTCCCTTTACAAAACAAAAAATGAATAACATTAAATTCTTATTTTCCAATGGCTTTAGAGTAAGGCACAGAGTGGTATTAAGTGTGTAGTGGTTTGTCTTGAAGTGGGGGCTAATTAGTTTACAAGTTTTGTTATCGAGAAAGGCGATGCCTTGAACAATCAGCAGTAACATGTGGTAATGAGGATGTGGCCCAAATTGAGTCTGATGGCCAACATGAGGACTTCTTGGGACACAATGAACAACGCCCTAACATCAACACCAAAATTCTTGGTCTTTAACACTATAACTGCGTTCTTTAACATTGCATCCTCTCCAATCAAGTGTCCATTTCTCAAAGGAGCAATTTGAAAAATCATAGTATCCTCCATGAAGAGAAAGCAACTCCTTTTTCACTCTTTCTTCTATCCAAGGGTAACTCAGCAAGTTCAATAGTGATTGGTTTAGAGACTCCTGCAACCATTCCATAAACATTCATTTGAGTCAGTAACAGAGCCAGTACAATTCAAGCAATTTGGCCAAGTACTGAAGGAGAGCCAACTCTTTCATGCACTTCTTGCATAGAATTGTGCGCGTAAAAACCAGTGCCTATGTATGAATTTTTCTTGAGAAAGATTATATACCTTCTCACAGAATCTGCATCGCATACCAAAGCCAAGATGAGCTGTGGCAGCTTTTGTCCTCGACTTGGCAACTTTCCCATTAACAACCCATTTGTTAATGAAGCTCCTGGGGCAAACGTTAATTCTATGATTTTATTTGCTAAACGTAAACCAGAACTCCTGAACGTTCATTTTCTTTTTTCTTTTTTTTGGGTAAGAGATAATTTTGATAAAACAAACCTCGATTCGACGTCTTCTTGTATATTCATCAACGTTTCAATTCCAGCACAATTGCTATGACCAACAACTAGAATATTTTCAACCTGAAAATGAAACTAAACATTTTTCAATCACGCAGTCATAAAGGGAGAGTGCTTCATCCTTTGCTCTATAGATCATCTAATTCCAGAAATTTATTCCTTTTTGAGATATATCTATAGTCTCCATCATTTAACTTTACTCTCTTAGTAGATAACGTGCCTTGAGAATAGTTACAGCAAACTCAAGAGCAGCATTACACTCAGTTGCTCCATTCTGCCCAAAAAAGCAAAAGAAATATATTACATGAGGTCAGGATTTAGACTAGGTTTGAGACAATGGGCAATCATCTGACCGCACAAAATTCAGAAGCAACGATTGAAGCACCTTCATGGGAGGAACAAGATTGGCGATGTTACGTATCATGAAGGCATCTCCAGGTTGAAATCCTAAAATGTTAGAGGGACATACCCTAGAGTCTGCACAAGCAATTACCATGAACTGTACTGGGATTTGTCAGTTATGAATGAACCTTCTCTTAGTTTAACTACTAAAATATGGAGTGACGTAGCATTGAAGAACTTCAGAAATTAACCAAAAACAAAACAAGGAAGACTATAATAAGTAAAACAAATGAACTCTGGAAACATGTGTTACCACCTTTGGAGACTGAGCTTCAGCAAGAGCTTGAAAATGCTCCAACTCTTTCCTGTCTAAATGCAACTTAGCTCGTAAGATACTTCACAGAGATGACAAAGACCAAATGCCAACTGACCACTACTCACAGGTATTTTTGGTTCTTGAAACTCAGAAACCTCTGTCTCATCACACCAAATAAGTCCTGTCTATCATCATTTTCAACTGTGGGACCAAGGTTTGGGCCGTTATACTCTTTACTGAGTCCAAGATAATTTGGAGCAACTGGTTGTTTCTCCCTAAAGGAAAGGGAAAATAGCAAGTGAATGAAAGTTCTCTAGCCAGGATACTTGGTTAAAATAGCCGAATTCGTTGCAGTTTATAGCGACAAATAAAGCTAGAAGGGTAAGCCTTTCTTCAAACAGCAGAATAGCTCACAATGTTATAGAGCACAAGTTCGAATTTTTAAGCGAGCCCAAATCTTAATAATGTCACTTTTTAAGTTGAATTTCAATCCATGTTAGCCGGTGTTTCAAAGCCTGACTTACTTTATCGAAGGCGAGAGTGCTGCTTCACTTCTTGCCCATTTCGCCTGAACACCCAGCAAGAGCGGGAAAAAAAAAATCAGCTAGGAACAAAACGAAGAACAAAAGAACCATGAAGAAAGAAACATTAGATCAACAGGCTGATAGCTTATCATCAACAACAGATAATTGAAACAGTTTGGCCTTCAATTATAGAAGCCTAAGATCAGGACGAGAGGGAAGAAACTGACGAAGTTAGGGCGAGGCATTGTTCTTGAGAAACCCAGGGATAAACTGTTTGGAGTAGAAAAGGGTGAGCACAAAGAGGAGTCCCCATGGACAGACGAAGCCACAAGAGCAAACGTTGATCGGACAAGTGAACCAGTTTTGGAGCCTGCATTTACCAAGTATACAAATTTCTATCATTGGTTTGATCTGTTTCTAGGAAAACTTCTCTTAACTGTAGAACTGCAAAATCCAGATTGGTAACTCACGGTCACGGATCAGCCACACCATCTCTTCTCTTCCTGTCTACAGCAGCCTACACCCACATCCTCACGCCGTGTCCATTTTTATCTCCCAAAATAAATTTAATTTAATATTATCTTTTAGTGATAAATCATTTGGATTTTATTATGCGCGCGTTTCTTGAGACGAAAGTTAGTTGAATGGAATTGAAGATGCTCAATTATATAGAATAGACGAATAGACTTATCCAAGTGTTCCGCGTCACCCACAAATAGTTATCCCATTATATGGGACATCCTTTCCAGACCCGGCACGACATCAACTACCTTCTTATGTCACTTCATCGCTGGCACCATTATCCATTCGACTCTTCTTTTTTGGATATTGCTATCACAACTCAGGTACCCACATCTAATCTTAAACTATTCTCCATTTTGATTCTTTTTCTTTCCTTTTTTTTTTCGGATTGCTATGAATCATGATGAATATGATCGTTCGAATGAACTGTTAGGTTTCCGCATATGCTAGCTATCCAACTTCGCTTTTTAACTTTTACATAATATAATCCTCCAAAGAAAAATGAAGGGAGGCACTAGAGGAAGAAAACACAGATGGTCTGAATTCTCAGCTTTTACTGATTCGATCCTATGTCTGCATTTGATTACATGTTCGCAGTCCCCAGCAAGAAGCCGCTTTGGCCCTCACTAGGTAAGCCGTGACAATGTCGGGCCCGTTTTTGGCCCAAGGACATTCGGCCCAATCTAGACCCCACGAGGGCCCGATTCTCTACTACAGCTGTCAAAGCCCGTTCCAGTGCCCCAACCTCCTCTTCTCCAGCAGTCCATTGGACAACCACCACACTCTTGGTTCGCCCACCAATGGTCATCATCTCGGCTCGCACCGCCTTGGCCCGAACGGAACGGATGGCCTCCTCTAGATCACGGTTCAGATTGGGCCGGTCCTCGCAGCAGAGCGTGGCTTTTACGAGTTTCCTCTCTCCGCCTCCGTCGCAGTAACTCACAGTTGCCTCGTCCGACTCTCCCGGGAACGCCCACTGCTCCGAGTCTCCGGGATCCGACCGAGATTCTCCGCTGATGGTGCTGCCCGACGAGTCTCCGTCGTGATGGCGCGTCACGTCATCAGCCTGTTTCCTCAGCTCTTTGACGTGTCGGACCACCTCTGCCAGCAACGACGCCTTGTCCGACTGCACCGGTAAAAACATTGTTAAAATTACTAGAGAGACCTCGAGTATGAGGGACTGAAAGGGAATAAGGAAGGAGCAGGAATATTCACCTTTACGGCGTTAGGGAGGAGGGAACGTAGAGTGGAGAGGTGGGCGTTGATTCGCTGCCTTCGTCTCCTCTCAGCTTCTCTATGGCTCTTGCATGCTTCCATCGACTTCCTCTCAGACTTTGATGTGGCGCTCAGAATTGGTTTCCCGTTATCCAATTCCACGGACTTGATGGATGAGCTGGGTTCCTGAGAATACGCACTCTGATCTAACCAGCTCTCAAACCCATAGAAACTCCTGAAAGGAAGCATCTTGCTTGCTTCTGTCGAACGAGAGGGATGCGATATGGGAAGAAACGCAAACGAGCACGTAGAGGTAATGCGAAGTGAAAAGTAGAGAAGGTCTAGGACGTAAGGCGTGATGGGCAGCTTTTGGGGCGGAAGAGTACGTACATGGGAGACAGAGAGAGTGAAAAGCAGAGGGAAAAGGAATAGTAATAAGGAGCGAAGAGAAGACAAAGGTAGAAGAAGGTTTGAACTGTAGTAGAAGAGAATGAGCCCAGGAGACACATAAGACTGGTACTTTTCCTTTCTTGTTGAAAACGTCTGAAAAGAAAGCAGCCAGAAAATAAAATAAAAGTGGAGGATGGAGTGGGAGAGACTTACCGAGGGAGGAAGGAGGAATAGGGAGAATAGGAGAAAGGTTAAACTTGTGACCTCTGACGCCTGAGAGACCTGCAGATCAGATCATCAGAGAGTAACTAGTGCCTGCTACGTGCACAATAGAGAGAGCTGGGGTCAGAACTCAGAAATGACTACACCCATTACGCACCTTAATTTGTTCTCATTTGCGGACAAAGAAACACGAAAAGCTTTAGCTTTAACCATCTCTGTTCGCTTTTTCAAACTATTTTGACTGTGTTGGAGGGTGAGAGGGTGGGTGTGTGAATGCGGATTGTGGAGTAATTACTTCGTATTTAAAGGGGGGGGGGGAAAACAGAGACCTCCGAAGTTATGACTATGATTTGATGATAAAGACGTCATCTTCTAAGTACTAAACAAAGTGAAAAAAGCCACATCAACTAATGCGACATGAAAAACGCAAGGGAGTAAGAAGAGGAGAAGTAGAGAAGTGATGAAGTGGGTTTTGAAGGAGGCGAGGTGGGCGGAGCTAATTTGTGGTAAATGGTTCGTGGAGAAGAGAGAGCGGCGTGTTGTGTGCAAAGGGGAAAATAAGGGAGCAGTCATTTTCAAACGGGCAAAAAGAAGGCACTGTTACTTAATACATACAGTCTCCTACGGCGGCGCCGACAACTATGTTAAGGGAATCAAAAGAGGACAGGCAGCAATATCCCAAGCCGACAACATCTTTTGGTCCTCTCTGATCACACCTCTCTCGTCACCTCAAAGCATCCATCGCTTTCCCACCTCCACCTTTTGATCCGATGGTTTAAATTCCTCGATCTTTACCTCTCCTCCCAAACCCGCGGACTTTTACAACCAGTATCATGTAATTACATGCTTCTTGCTCTTCAATTTCCCGGCGAGACTGGTCTACAAAATGATATTAACTATCATAGATTGATAAAAGATGGGACATGGCCTGGGTAGGGAAGGAGGGTTTTAGGGCTGTGTTTGTACATGCATATATGCATGGAGACATGCATGTGTTTTCCCCTCCGGTGGGATATTCCCGCAAGTCGACGCTGCGTACTCCAAGTTCGTCTTCAGTGTAAATTCAGTTCTGCAGCGACCAATAATACAAGGCTCTGTATTTTGCAAATCCCCAAAGGCAAGTTGGCTAGCTTGCTAGCTGCTTACCGATTCATTATTTGTCCCGTTCCAGGGAAATATTTAATGAAAAACAATGACAATTATTTGGGGAAAAAAATATTGACCGGGAAGTCACCTTTTCCCTTATTGTAGGGCGGGCAGAGGGCAACGGGCAGTATTCTTATCCTAATTAGGGGTGTTCACGGGACGGATCGGGACCGGGACAGGCCCGTCCCGGTCCGTCCCGATGAACAGTAACGGGACAGATTTTCTGTCCCGTGTCCCGGTCCGTCCCGAAATAATTTTTTTTTTTTTTTTTTAAAAAATCTAATTTTTTTAATAATTATATTTTTTTGAGCTTAAATCTTATAAAAACATCTTTTTTATTTGTTTGGGCACTCTTAAACAAAGCTCAAAATATTACATATAATAGTTATTAAAAACTCTAAACAAAACTTTTTTAACACAATAAAAACTTGCTAAAAATTCTAATCATCAATAATCTCAAATCATTACAAATAAAAAACTCTAAATAAATATATCCATAGTTTCATACATAATCTCAAATCTTAAAAAATATGAAAAAAATGAATTATATAAAAAATTAAAAAATTAATTTTTTTTTTTAAAAAGGAACCGGGACGGGACCGGGACGGGACGATCCCGTCCCGTGTCCCGCCCTGTCCCGGTCCCTTTTTTGTCCCGTCCCGAAAATTTTCGGGACGGATCCGTCCCGTCCCAATAAGACCGGGACCGAAACGGGTCGACCGGGACGGGCCGACCTTGAACACCCCTAATCCTAATGCATTTCCTGTACAAAGAAGTCAAAAGGAGGCGTTACATGGCGGACGAAATATCCAAGTCTTCCACTTCAAGAAGCGTTTTAGGCGAGCATCAAGGGCTATGGCCTGTGTCCGCGAGGAGTTAGGATGGAAGCAAAATGGGATCCGGTTTTTTTTTTTTTTTTTTTTGGGTGGCAACAAAATAAAGGAGGATGTGTTGGGGGGAAAGGCATGTGAAGATGTCGGGTGGACCCCACAAAGGGGGGAAATAAAAGGTAGGTAATATCAACATCGGGTGTCAGTGGCACTGCAACCACAGCACAGACGCTGCTTCAGAAGGTTTTGCTGTAACAGTATGCAACTCTCTACGTGTCTTATGCACATACTCTCCCCTCTCTCTCTAAATGCAACCTTCAATTATTCAAATTGTTAATTCAATCACTCTCAACCTGTCCAATATACGGTAGCGTGTCATGTCTTCTTAATTTTGTAAGGCAGAGTTATTTCTCCACAATGCCATCACCTCAATTCTTGTCCGTTCAAGGCCTCCTCCCCAGAAAAATTAGCACATACTGATATCAAAAATTCAAAAATTCGGTCCTGCCGTCCCAATTATTAACATGACATATTAACGGGAGAATTACTGAGACAAGAGAGAAAATTACTAAAAAAGTCTTAATAACTAATGAAATTATAAAAAATAGATTTTTTTAGTTGAGACTTCATAATAATTCTCCCAATATTAATTATCAGCTTGGCATTGGCAGCATGCATTTTGCATGTTGCTGCAGATCTATCACTTTCTCCATGTGTCTCCCCCATTACATCTTATGGACAACTAGTGCCCAATGATCGACGACGCTGAAGGGAGCCTGCAGCTTTTGGACGTACGCGCGCAGCAGTGATTAACCAGCACCATAAAGGAATATGCATTCCCCAAAATGTGAGTAATATATATATATATATATATATATAGAGAAGCATCTACGGATTGATCAGATCGTTTCATTAATAATTATTAACAACCGTTAAAATTAACCTTCTTAGTTAATCACTCATGTAACCCAAATTCCTTGCCTGACATTCTATATGATGTGGAACATATCCACAGAGCAATGAGCATGTCCGGAGGTTCTCTCAGTGGGAGAGAATATTATATAATAACGATCGAGACCCCCACCATTTTGCACTTGCTGATAATGAGCCCCCCACCAATACATTCTAATTGATCCTCTCTCACTATCCCACATCACCATTGGCCCAAACACGGACAAAACAGGCCAAATATCTTAAGCTTCAAATATATATATATATATATATATATAATATAACCCTTCTTTCTTTCTTTCTTTCTAATTAAGCTGGGGTGAGCAATCAGAGGCTAATGATGCAGCTAGACAATAAGGCCCTTTTCTGTTTTTCCGTTTATATGATCGTGCCAGCTTCCCACGGGCTCACATGATGGCGCGGGAAAGCATGGGCACTGTAGGTCTTCCATTAGTGGGCTTTTGCACCCCCTCTCTTGTGTGGACTTTAATCGGGTAAAAGCCCATCGAGGTAGAGCCTAGTCTAGAAGAGGGCCAGTTCATGGTTAAGGCCTGGAAAGGATTAAGCCCAAACTATGATGGGCTGTAGGAAGATCCAGCTCCCACGCATTGGTGGGGCAAGGAGAGGATTGATAACCCCTAATACTACTTCGTGGTCCTAATTATAAAATATTATCTGTAGACTAAAAATAATACTTTATAATTAAGACTGGGGGTAGTAGTAGTTATTTCAAAAAACAACTGATTCTTCGAGACTTCAAGTGAATCGATTGGTACAAGGTATTAGCATTTAGGTAACTCAGCACTCGTTTTCTGTAATTGAAGTTTCTTGGTCGAGTCTTGAGAACAGGAAAAAAATTAGTAAAATGATGGGTTTTTAACATGATCAGTTTCCTTTTTGTATCATAACATTTTTATAAAATTCATATGTGATCCTTGATGCCACTCATTAACGAATGCTATGCAGTATACACATGAGAACGTGAAATTCAAAGTCCAAACTCGTCAGTATCCTGTGTTTGACATTATTGCATTTAGGTGGGCTGTACATTTAAGTTTTACCTTTTCAGGGATATATATATACTCCTCCGGGTCTAATTATAAGACCCAATTAATTTATTTGAGGAGATTGAGGAAGTGAGTTAAGTTAGTTATTTATAATAAATAAGTGTTGTCATTCCTAAAATATCCTTGCTAATTAAGTATATTGGCTAAAACTATCATTATTAGAAGGATTATCTTGGAAAAAAATGCATAAATATAAGAGACAAAATGGATTGGGTCTTATAATTAGGACCAAATAAAAAGTCAAATTGGGTCTTATAATAAGGATCGGAGGAGTACCTAAATCCAGGAACCTAATTCAAAATCAGGTTAAACTTACATGCACTGATATGTTAATTTTTCCAATATTGCAGTATAGGATGGTAAGTCATGCCTCTTAGAAGGAGAATTAAATTAAATTTCTCAAGCAGTAAAAATTTGGTCAAATGGACAGCGAAACCTGTACAAAATCATTTGCATAAAATACAAACATGGAAATAAGGGAACAACCTCCTCAATTGATACCAACGACTATTCGGTCCGCGTAAGGACCTGCCCTCTATGCCCTATAGCTCACTTGATGGAGAATTTCGTGGACTGTGGATTATTGTAATGTTCAGATCATTTGGCAATAATTTTCACTGCCTAACTTTATAGAATCGTCACTGCCCCAGCAGCAAAGGGGGTTATCTCACACTCCCTGTCTTCTTTTAGTGTTTCACGGTTGTTACAGTGATCGGCAAACAGGGCAACCATAAACTAAACGATCCTGACAAACAACAATCTCCACATGTATTGCTTCTGTACGTTGGAAAGGATACAGTTCCACCGTCATGGAACTGTTAGGTTTTAGAAGCTACCGCTATACATTCCGCAAATCAAAACCCTGTTATCCTCAAGCGTTTCCTGCAAAACTCATAGTCTGCTCCATGATGTCCACTGTAGTGTTTGTGCAGCCCATAAGGTTTATCATATTGGTACTATTCCCAACACACGCTGTGGAAGTTTCAGCATTTTCCGAAAATGGCAATCATGATGGATTATTGACATGGCAAAAAGCTTCAGGACAGTTCTTCCTCTTCGCTTTATTGCGACGCATAAGGATCTTTCCCATGGACGCTTACACTGACCCTTCCTATGTCAGGGCTCCATAGCATATTTTCAAACTCCATTATTCACTGTGCGCCACAGGTCCCACGTCTTCCCCCCCCTCACTACCACCCACTCCCATGACTTTCTCTCTACTGTTACAGACCTCTCAAGCATTATTGGATTCAAAGCTTTCAATTTTGACAGTGAAACATTAATTATAAACAATTTTTCTTTTTTAAAAAAACATATTCCCAGGTGGCCCATAATTAGCAGATCACAGTGATGGTCCTCTCCGCAGTCAAATGAACTGGTGCACCATTGCTTAGGCTATCAATATTAACTAATTATTAATCGCCAATGCATGCAAATGTGATGGGCTTTCAAAAATAGGTAAAGAGGCAGATCTTGACGCGCTCAGTAATTTATACTTGACTATTCAGATACAAAGGGGAAGACCAAATACACACAACATCAAGGCGCTACATGGGTCGATTGTATTATAGCTACAACGTAGGGGGAAAAAGGGCCAAAAGGAGGGGAAAAATACAAAAAGGAAAACAAAGAAGCCGATAGGCTATATAATGTGGACAGGTCTTTGCAACTGTTGAATGATATATGTCCCTGATTGATAACGAAAAGGCGTTAGAAATAGATCTACGCAGCCCCTGTAACGGAAGAACCAACCCCTGTTTTTTTCTTCTCTCTTTTCCTCTCCGCCTCTTGTAACTCTGTTCATGTTGTTCGATTATTGTCTGAGGTTGGTCGGTGTCGTTTTTCCAATGTTTAATGTAAAATTTCTGGTGCCTAGAGAAACGTGGTTTCGATTATTGTCTAGTTACGTGACAACAATGAACTGTCCATAGAATATTCTCCCAAAATAGCCCCCTCTCGGCTCTCACCCCCTCCGTTCTTCTTTTCATGAAAATATATTATTGTTAATCCCTTTGTCTCCTCAGATTACATTATAGTCACTTCAAACACCGAGCATCACTCTCGCTCGCACATGGGTGGTGTGGCCTTCTTTCAAGCCATTCACCAGATTTTTCTTATTCTTCTTCGTCCTCCCCACCACAATCATACTCCTTGCACCGACTGCTTGCTGGTGAAACCCCCATCTTCTCTTTAGGCTGGACCGTCTGAGGTTGGTCGGTGTCGTTTTCCAATGTTTAATGTAAAATTTCTGGTGCCTAGAGAAACGTGGTTTCGATTATGTCTAGTTACGTGACAACAATGAACTGTAGTGGGGTTTATTTATACGGTAGGAGCCACATTTAATATTGAGTTTTAGTTTAAACCTATCGCTCTTTGTCCGTCTCTCTGTATCTTTTTCCCCCCTGAATCCCTATTCCCTACCATAGAATCTCTCCCAAAATAGCCCCCTCTCGGCTCTCACCCCCTCCGTTCTTCTCTTTCATGAAAATATATTATTTGTTAATCCCTTTGTCTCCTCAGATTACATTATAGTCACTTCAAACACCGAGCATCACTCTCGCTCGCACATGGGTGGTGCGCCTTCTTTCAAGCCATTCACCAGATTTTTCTTATTCTTCTTCGTCCTCCCCACCACAATCATACTCCTTGCACCGACTGCTGCTGGTGAAACCCCATCTTCTCCTTTAGGCTGGACCGATTATGAAAACGCCACGGGAAAAAATCCGCCTCCGCCTCCGCCGCCATCGGGAAGTCAACGTGGCGGAGGAGGAAGAGGGTCTCCGTTTAAGCCGAGCGTGGTCGTTCTAGTTGGGGTGATGACAACCCTGTTTTTTCTTACCTTCCTCCTCCTCCTCTATGTTAAGCACTGTAAACCAGAGGAGGAGCCGCTAAGGAATTCGCATACAAGCGCTGGTTATTCAGGGAGGAAGAACTCCGGCATTGACAGGGTGGTGATCGAGTCGTTACCCATTTTCAGATTCGGATCGTTAAGGGGCCAAAAAGAGGGGCTTGAATGCGCCGTTTGCCTGACCCCGTTTGAGTCCGTGGAGGTTCTTCGGTTGCTTCCAAAATGCAAGCACGCCTTCCATGTCGAGTGCGTGGATACGTGGCTGGACGCGCATTCCACTTGCCCGCTTTGCCGGTACCGGGTCGACCCAGAAGACATCCTCCTGGTTGGGGACGCCAAAATTTGGCCGCAGAATCAACCCATTCCACCGATACAAGAGATTTCTGAAAATCCGCAGCATTGTACAGACATAGAGAGCGGCCTTGGACCGGATTCACAGAATCTGTTCGATTCAAACTCGATTCTAAGGCGCGTCTCCGGGAGGCACTCATCCGTAGGCGAGAGAGGAGGAGGAGGAGGAGGAGGAGGAGGAGGAGGCTGGTGGTGGTGGGCTCTTAAAGATTATATTCCAGCATCGAATCAGCGTGGACGGCGAAAACGACGCCGACGCCAAGGCAGAAGAAAACGGCGCCGCTTAGGATGTCACTGGACAGTGCAATGTCGACGAAGAGGAAAAGAAACGAGACCGGTAAAGCAAGGGAAGGCAGTGAGTGCGATGGCGCAAGAAAAGATGGGTTACTGCTTACGGAGAAGGAGAAGAAGCACAGGGTGGAACACAGGATCATAGTGTCTCCGTCAGAAAAGGCGAACGGGCTTAATCAGAGATGGAGCGACGTACAGCCGTCGGACTTACTATACCTGACGTCGGAGATGATACTGAGCGAATCGCGTTCCTCATCGGGGCCGTCGCTTCCAGGGCCTCAGCAACAGAATGTGCAGCTGCCACTGTACCGGAGCACAGGAGATACGCGTACGGGGGCAATAAATGTGAGGAGCTTGTCGGAAATCACGGGATTGAGCAGGACGAGGAGAGAGGAAGGGGAGCATCGTCATCGTCGGGCAGAAGAAGAAGAGAGACAGGCGGGAGTAGTATCGAGATGGTTGGCCTGGATCTCTCAGTCGCAACGATCTGTACGGTAGCCATTGAATTCTCGTCTCGTCTAGTCTCAGCTCATACGGAGAATGCTCTTTCTGACAAAAACGTACTGCCCATTAAATTTTAGTTGTAACTTTAGCATTGGCCTTAGCGTTTAGGGGTAGAGCAACTAGAGAGGAAATGGGATCAAATTCAATTGTCCATCCATTATTTTCACTAATACCACCCTTCGTTAACTTACTCAGTTTAGATTTTAAAGCATGGAATTTTTATTTTTAAGCACCAAACACACAGTACTATAAATTAATACTGCGCTATGATACGAACCACTTTCAATAGTAAAATTTACTATTGTCCAAGAACCGCAGGAATGAAAAAGTGAACTGCATGCAGCGCAATAACAAATTGTTTTTCATGTAAGGCCCGCAGGGACACATATCAGGACAATCATGGTTATTGTCAAAATCAACAAGTGCGATCTTGTTTAGAGTTAGATAAGTATTTTGTTCCAGAATTAGTTTATTTTTGAAAAGATATAATTTTTTCTCAATATGCTCCGATTTTCCAGTCATTGCAATAGCAAGGAAATTTTTATTAAAACATAGTTACAATGAACATAATTAAAAACAATATTACAGAGAAACATAAAAATTTGAGAAAATTATAACAGTGGCATGCTGTTGATGATATACATAGAAGGCAGCCTTGTTGAAGAAAGCGCGAGAAGCGCATAAAAAGGGGTGGGGATGTGTGAGTAATGGAGAGGGGAGGGTGAGAGTAGGGAATGGAAGGAGACAGCCACTGATACCGAAGCGAAGAGGGAGCATGTGAAGAGGAGCATATTTGCGTATTTTGCATTCCCCACGCACACAGCCCTGGGCCTCTGTCCCCTTCTCTAATTGTTCACATCTTGAAATTTGCAAATGAGTCCAGAATCGGTCACTAATTAAACCATTCTGTAATCAAGGTTACTCAGAACCGGACACTCGTGTTTCTTGTCTCACCTTTCCTACTTATTATTTTTAATACTTTTCAAAAAGGTAATGCAATGGCAAAATCTTTTTATGGTTTGTGGATTATGAGGAAGGCATTATCTCCGTGAATGCCCCTATACATTTAAAAAATAAATAATAAGCGCCCTCCTTTTCTTTACTGGATTCACTTGTGCTTCATCCCAACTCACACCCATCCCTTTAATGCTTCCCCTTGTCGTTAAGCATAAAGACATAACTATTGCAAGGGGTAGCAAAGTAGATACAGAGCGATTTAGTATCGGAATTTATGGGTGAGAGATTAGAAAGTTGCGGGCACAATTGCACATAACATGGCAAATACAACCACGCAATGTGCTCTCCCTTTATTCCCGCAAGAGCTAGAAAATACCGAGGATCTGCAAACCTAGTGCCGACGCAATGATAATCTATAGACAGTGACAAGTCTTCGGTCTTAAAAATCAAATGCGGCTCAAAATAAGATCGTACCCTGGCCCCCTCGCTGCTCTCCGTACTAGCGTTGTGGCGATACAAGACTAGGACCTTAGCAGCATGAGCATGTGCGGACGGATGGGAACAACTCGTGGGCTCTTCAACGCCGCAAGAGCTTTGTAAGTACTTCAGTTGTGGATTGGTCGCGGAGGACAAGGAAGCCCAACGTGGGAGCCTAACAGCGTTTTTAACACTGAACAGAATTTCACTTCCGCTTGATAGCCACACAACAGGGCGATCGAAAGGAACAACGGGGAAACAACAAGCTTCGTTCCACTACCCCAACCAGCCTGCTTATTCTCAACTGATTTAAGTACTGTTCCGTGTACTCGGTTCTGGCAAATGCCCCGAATGTTCCTGCCCCGATAAGTTATATCAAAACCGAAAAGCTTCTTAGATTTTTGAGGCGGACGATGTCAGTTCCCCTGATCATAAAATTTTGTGCATTTTTTTCAGGAGTTCGCAATGAATTCCTTTTTTTTTTTTTTGGTCCTTTTAAATAACAAGCAGATTCTTATACAAGTCAACATTCTATGACTGGGCATTTGTCCAGAAAAAGTAACTACGGTATATTTTAATTACAAGTTACAACATCATACAGCTACAAATTTCACATGCACATTGTCCTTTCACTAATTTAAGATGAACGAAACAACCTATGAATATTTGTAAAGTCTATCTATTTAGATTAGGACTAGATATAAAGGTTTTCCGGATATTTCAAGGAGTTCACGTATCAGTAAAATGATACTGAACCCATTTTGATACATTACAGAGCAACAAATTCACTTTGAATGAAAAGAACACGATTCATAAGGAAAGGTTTTAAGTGATGTCACCTACAATTGCTAACGATGGGTAGAGTTTCTATCGGGTTCAATAACATAATAGCTCGTTTGATAATAATTTTATAACTTGTTGGAATTCAAAAAATTCCCCAGACAGATACCAAACGATTTTAAGAGTTTTCTCATCCAAATCCACCTGAGACAATTCGATCCTTCAAGCTTTTAGGAACAATCTTAATCCTCATACATATTTTCAAACTTAAGACTCAGATAGCATGGTATTGACATTACCTCCTATATCCCCCACTTAAGACTACAAACTAAAGAAAGTTGAACTAAAACCTTTTTATACACAGTATCTTTGGATGAGGCAAATGCGAAACATGCTGTTTCTTTCCTATTATTTGATAACTAAAAGACTGTAAGAATGATATTATTGTAATCCCTCAAGATAATAGAATTGAAATGAAATACCAATAGCCCCTGGATCGAGTGGAATTTGATACTCTTTAAACAGGATATGGTCCTGCAGAAAACTAGTACTTATTTGGGACTTGACAATGCCGAATATACATTAGCTGATAATAGCAAATATCATATGATTGTAAAACAAAAAAAATAAAAAATCGAAGCAGAATTAACTTTCACTTTTTAAAATGACGCAAAAGCAATATGTGGGATGTCAATTTGGCAAGCATACCATTTTTGAGGATCAACATACAAGAATGTTTTCTATGCAAATCATCAGTATCAATTATCAATATAATCAATACATACATAAAATCTATAAAATCTACAGCAAATACCACTATTCATCAGCCACAAACATTAGCTATTTTTTCAGTCTTCATACAATAAACAAAAGAATGTGTTTACTTTCTTCAAAATAAAGAAGCAGCGCCAGCTAATGAAAATGAACCAGTGATGATAGCAAAGAATTAATCAGCTACTTATGTACAATTTATAGAAGTATTTAGGGCAACAAGAATGTTGCCAAATTCATTTTAACAAGGGAGGAACCAGCCATGGTTTGGCATTAAAACAGATCAGTAACTTCGATCCTTTGTTTAAAAAAACTTGCTGAAACAACTATATGGCAAATAGTACAAAGTTGCACGCTATCAAGCACGAAGTAGTCAGTTAAATTAACAGAAATCTACAAACAAGTAACAACTAAATGATACTGAAACAACAGTACCTACACGTTTTCCAGCCAAGCATCTTCAGCTTTCTTTGGTCTTCCGAAGAAAGCACAGGCACGCCCGTTCCCGCCACATCAACCGCCAAATTAACAAATTTCCTTCCATCAAATCTTCATACTCTACAATCAAGGCATTCTCAACAACAAATTGCTCTAGCTCTACAGCAGTTAGGAACCCAAGTGCTTTTCAACTGATCTGAGCAAAGCGTAACCTCAAATTTAGTTTATAACAATAAAGGATTCTCCTGGGGCCTTCCTCGGTCTTCCTCGCTTCCGCCCACTAGATCCCGAGCCTGAACGGATCCCATTAGAAATACCTCCGGCCTTCGCCGTCTTTGCCACAGGCTTTGCGGCCGCCACGGGTTCTGCTTTATTCCAACCATTCTCTGACTGCCGGCCATATTGAGATACGGGGGGCGTCCAATTTGGAAATCCTGAAGGGGTCGCAGCTTCTTTGCCGACGGAATTAGCAGTGGCTAAAGTTAATGGAAAGAATCCCCAGCAACAATAATAGGCCTCCTGGCCTGCCACAAGAGGCGGCAATGTCGGGATCGAAACCCCATGGAACGATCTCTCGCAGTTCTGGCACCTTAGACAACATCCCTCGTAAATCTTAGGATACTCGCACAGCAAATAACAGTAAGGGCAGGCCGTCCAGAAGGTCGACGGATTCCGTCGTGAATTTTCATCGGCTCCAGCGTCCCTAGTGGCGGTGCCATTATTCCTGAAATCAAACCCCTGGTTCCCACCACCAGCGAACCCCGCTCCGGCTCTTCGGACCGGCAATTTTTCTTGATGAGCCCAGCCGGGCCCGCTCAAATCAACCGGAGAGAAGGAACCAAGCTCCTTGTCGTAGAGCGACTTTTTGGCAGGATCCGATAGAGTAGCCCATGCCTCGGCGACGAGCTTGAATGCATGATCAGCGTGTGAGAACCTGTTCTTGTCAGGGTGGAGGAGAAGTGCGAGCCTCCGATATTGCTTCTTGATGAGATCTGTGTCGTCCGATCGGCGATCAACTTGAAGAATAGAGTACCAGTCAAGGTGATTGTTTAATCGGTTATCAGCGGCGAGAAGGACGTCAATGACGGCCAGGATTTGATCGGAACCCTCTAGAAGGGGTTCGGTTTCTTGGGCCAAAATGGCAAATTCTCTCGAGCCGCTGAGATCCCGATCGGACAAGAGCTTTTCAGCGACCCCAAGCAAACGTTCAGCTTCTTCTGCTTTCTCCATTTTCTGAATTTAAACAGGGAGATGGGGGGTTGCTTAACTGGGAACGAAGTTGCAGGGAGAGTTTGAAGCCAAATTGAAAAATTCTTTTGGAATTGGACAGTAATATAATCAAGGTTAAGATTCAATCAGCCAGCGCTACGTTTTTTATTTTAAGTTAATTTCTTCTGATGCACTTTTTAATTTCCTTGGAAATAGTCTTTTTTTTTTCCTAACTGTTTTAGCACCTTATAAATTCTGTTAATTTCAATATATTATTTTGCCTTTTATTCAAAAAGAAAAATTAATACTTAGAAAAGCATGCCAAAATATTATATGAAGCACAAAATGTTTTAGTGACACACTTAAAAAATACTTTAAAATGATGAATTAACCTTAACTTACTAAATAAATAAATAATGTAATATATATTGAATGTTGTCAAAATGAAAGTCTTTCACCATGCTTTCGTAGCTTTTTGTGAATTGCTTTAAGTCCCGTTTGGAATGGTTTATAAGTAGCTCTTTAATCGTGATTTGTGAAATACAAGTTAAGCATGTGAAAGAAGTTTTGTCTCAACTTATTTGAAACATGTTTATGGACCGGTTTGAAACAGTTTAGCTTTTTAATAGTAATTTACAGAATACGAGGCAAGTATGTGAGAAGAGTTTTGTCTCAACTTACATAAAACATGTTTATAGGAGATTTCCACCACTCTGCCAAACTGGGCCTATAAGTGATTTCAATTATAATGACAAATAAGAGCTTAGTTTTTATGGCATCTTATTCATTTAAATGTATCTATAATACTATCTCCGATTTAAACTATAAGAACTAATTAAAAATTTAATAAAGATCTTGATTTATTATCTTTCATATTTATTTATTTATTTTAAAAATAATACTTATAATAATTATAGATGTTAAAAAATTTATATTTTAATACATATAATTAATGAAAATATTTAAAAATAATATTTATTTATCATAAAATAAATAATCTAATTAATATTATTAATATTTACAAATTAATTATCTTAAGAATTAGAGATAGCTTTGATATTGATGGAAGCGTTAAACAGCAGGAACCGGCAAGGCATATCGTCAAAAGGAAAAAAAAATCGTTAAGAACAATATTCGTAAAAGTAGGTTGATATTCAAGAAAACACTGTAGGGTTCGTTATCAAAGCGTTTATAATGATAAAGATTCGACAAAAATGGAAGCCCGGCGACAGAATTATAAACTGAAAAAAGACGAAATCAGTGATGGAGAAAATGGCGAGGTGTTGGATGCCGAAGGAGCTCGCCTTGGGCGCTTGTCATGGGAATCAAGAGCATCATGTACTCACAGGAAGGAATTACTGTCCAAATTAGTTCTGAACACTCCCAATATCAAAATTTTTAATTTTTAATTTCTAAACAAGATTGTTAAAAAAATATACTCCTCCAGTCCTTAATACAAGACCCATTTAACTAATTTGATTAGATTAAGGAAGTTAGGTAAATTAGTTAATTATAAGAAATGTGACATGTTTTTCCTAAAATATCATAATCATCTTTCTTAATGCCCCATCTTTCTCTTCTACTTGATTATGGTTGAGGGAGTATCCATAGGGGTAATTTAGATAAAACTGATAAATATGAGAAATGGGTCTTGTATTTAGGACTAAAACTAACATAATAATTAGGTACTATATTAAGGACCGGAGGAGTATGAAATTTGGAAAAATATCTTTATTTTATATTATGTGTTTATCAAAATATTAAACTGTTAAAAATATAATAAACAAATTGAAATTGATTCTAAATCGCGCGAATTTAATTTTGGTTGTCTGTGGTATGTTTGAGAAGACCATCCCAAACTTGTCATCTCAGTGTTATTGTTAGGGGTGTTCAAGGCCGGCCCATCTCGGTCGGCCCGTTTCGGTCCCGGTCTTATTGGGACGAGACAGATCCGTCCCGAAATTTTTCGGGACGGGACAAACCGAGATGGGACAAAAAAGGGACCGGGACGGGACGAGACACGGGACGAGGTCGTCCCGTCCCGTCCCGTCGGTTCCTTTTTTTTTAAATTTTTTTAATTTTTTATATAATATCATTTTTTTCATATTTTTTTAAAATTTGATACTATTGTATAGAACTATGGATATATTTATTTAGAGTTTTTATATTTGTTAATGATTTGAGATTATTGATGATTAGAATTTTTAACAAGTTTTTATTGTGTTAAAAGCTTTCGTTTAGAGTTTTTAATGACTATTATATGTAATATTTTGAGCTTTTATTTAAGAGTGCCCAAACAAATAAAAAAGACGTTTTTACAAGATTTAAGCTCAAAAAATTATAATTAAAAAAATCATATTTTTTAAAAAAATTTAAAAAAATAATTTCGGGACGTCCCGGTCCTGTCCTAACCAGGACCGGGACAACACCGAGACGAGCCAGGACACGGGACAGAAAACCTGTCCCGTTACTGTTTATCGGGACGGGCCTGTCCCGGTCCCGCTCCGTCCCGTGAACACCCTTAGTTCTTGTGCTGTGGTTCCGACAAGGGGTGGTATATTTTGCCCCACTTTTAGTTCCATCTATTTTGTCGTCCAAGAGCAACCAAACATGTAAACAAAAACAACAAAAGACGGAATAATTGTGTTGCTCCCATTATATCCAATTATTAACGCCCAAATTATTTTTTTTTTACAAAAAAAAATTTAGGTGAGTTAGGTTTCCGGAGCTCATTAAGATCAGACATGCCTCCAAATTCAAAAATCACTTACAGATTGTCCACCAGTAAAGTCCTCATATCAGTAGTGAGATTCGAACTTATGACCTTATAAATTATGAACCGACTCTTTTATGTTTAACTAAACTAACTCTTACTGGTAACACCCAAAATTGTAACGGTTCCAATCACCCTTGCAAAATGAAACTAGATCCGATGGTCAGCATCTCCTTTCACCACCTGATTATCTGCTTCTATTCTTTGAAGGTAACTGTGGCGGGCTTTGCTGCTCCCAGAGCAAGCTTTCTTTTGTACACAATTCAACAGACTGTTTCTAATGCTTCAATTTGGGCCAACGCCCAAACCAGAGTATATTCGCCCAGCTACATGGCTCCATCACTGCTGTGTATCAAAAAAAAAAATAGAGAGAGAGAAAGAAAGAAAGAAATCGGGCACCAACAGGTTGGGTCCCATAAAATAAGTTAATATGTCAGGTTGTAAGTTCATTTCTTTTCATGAAAGGTGCTTACATTTATTATTTAATAGTGTTTTTAACAAAACTGTTTTTATTAGAGGATATCTGTGTTTATATAAAAGGGAAAATTACACTCAGGTCCTATAGAGCACAATTAATATCAACAAAGTCCCTGAAAATCGCAAAATGAATCTGAAGTCCCTAGGGACCTGTGTGTAATTGATTCTAATTGTGAAATTACCTACTTACCCCTGTTAATTTTATTGCAACAATTTATTTACAACCTCAACAGGGGCTGTTGACAACCCGAGAAGAAGTGATTAACAACCTTGACAGTGCTCATGACAACTCACTCTGTGGGATGATTGCTGACAACCCGAGAAGAAGTGATTGACAACCTCGACAGTGCTCCTGACAACTCACTCTATGGGATGCCAAGGGCGTTGCTGAGGTTGTTAACCACCTTTTCTTGGGTTGTTAACAGCCACTATTGATGTTGTAAATAGGTTCAAATTAATAAGGGTAAGTAGGTAATTTTACAATTAGAATTAATTACACACAGGTCCCTAAGGACTTCAGAATTATTTCGCAATTTTCAGGGACTTTTTTAATATTAATTATGTTATGTGGGACCTGAGTGTAATTTTCCCTATATAAAATAAATAAATAAACAAGCGCCTTTGATTTTTGGAAGGCCTCGTCCGGAGAACAAAAAAAGTCAGCTCACCAAAACTCAACGAAGCAGATATCCGTGATTAATTGAAGGAGACGTGTCCGTGAAAGAGTGGGAAGAGGTACATGAACATTGACACTTTGCTGTAAAAGCCTTGGGCTGGCCATCGATTTGATTCGCAAGTGGGTGGTGTGCTGTAGATTCTGTAGTTCTTTTTGACCAGCAGTTGATTCTGTACTTCAGACTTGTGCAATGCCACTGCTTGTGATTAGCTTGTTGCCACAAAGCATTGGATTCTCATTCAAAACGATGCAAGTGGGGGGGGGGGGATGCCATTTATCAACCCTCTCCCAACCGAAAACGGAAAAATTAAAGCTTATTTGAAATGGAAGTTTAAGAACAAATTTCTAATTATGATATACAAAATACGAAATAAATATATGTAAAGAATTTTTTTTAAAATTACATGAGTAAGGTGCTTTTGGGAATCTCATTTATGATTCCAAACAAGCATTAAAGGGTGGGCTATGCTACAAGTTAATGACTTTGGCTGGACTCTTCTAGAGCGTGGTATTTGTTTTGTTTTAAGACTCGTTTGGCAGAACATTAAAAATTATTTATAAACATGTTTCATGTAAACTTAAAATAAAATTTCTTTTACATATTTATGTCGTATTCTATAAATCATGATTGAAAAGGTTACTTATAAGTTATTTCAAATAGGTTCTTAATTGCAACTACTAGAAAGGTTGCTATCTCTTTATACAAAAGAATTTTCTTTTTCTTTTTCTGAACAAGTTTAACATGTGATTTATACATTGAAGGTCCAAACAAATAATGAGAAGCAAAATAACCTCGCTGCTTTAATTTAATCACCGAATTCAATTCAATTTTGCGCTTAACACCACACTAAATCCTGAACCAAAATAATCAAATTAATCACATGGCTGAGACATGCACGGAGTTGTTTGGCAGTTGATTTAGGCCCAGTTTGTCATCACATTTGTAATATAAGCATGTTTTGTGTAAATCGAGATAAAATTTTTTTCATATACTTGTTTTATATTTTTAAATTGTGATTAAAAATTGTTTATAAGTTATTCTAACAGACCTTTAAACAATCAGATCCCGTCCACAGGCTCAACTGTCAGCATTTTTAGTGGGGGAAAAAATGGCCAGAGATACAAGCAAAATTCGATATTTTTCATGCACCTCGAGTATTTATTTGGTCTCAATAAAATAATAAATCTGAAGTTTTTTTAAGTCAGTACAAATGTAAAAAAAACTCCAATTCCACGGGGACCGCGTTATTTTATATGCGCTGGAAGAGACCGCCAGTGAATAACATTGTCACCTGATTCTGTTGTTCCGCTTCTTTGTGATTTGTCCGTGAAGATTATTATATGTAGTTCGTAAATTTCACACACGCACGAAGTGAAGAAGTAATGAGATGGGTATTTTTTTTTTTTTTTGGAATTCTAACATCCAAATTATCCTGATACAGTTATTTATTTAAATCAATGCAATTAATAAAAATTAATCATATAAGTTAACTTTTTAATGAACACTATGGACATCAATATACTCATTCGGTCTTAAATATAATACTCCTCGGTCTTTATTATAAGACCCAATTTGATTTTTATTTGGTCCTAATTATAAGACCCAATCCATTTTGTCTCTTATATTTATGCATTTTTTTCCAAGATAATCCTTCTAATAATGATAGTTTTAGCCAATATTAATTAGCAAGGATATTTTAGGAATGACAACACTTATTTATTATAAATAACCAACTTAACTTACTTCCTTAATCTCCTCAAATAAGTCAATTGGGTCTTATAATTAGGACCGGAGGAGTATAAGGATTTTATATTTAGAACCGGAAGAGTATATATATAATATAATTCTTATTAACCATGATATCAGTAGTAATAATTTATCTTTCAATTTTAATGTAACACACTACGTTTGTGCTTAGTCTTATTACAATATAAGTTTGCTTTTTTCTACAACTAGTTACCGTTGCCCAATTCACCCTATGTAACCTCACGCTGCAGTTTGATAGTTGAGTGCATTACTCAGCACTCACTCATTCCGAGCGTGATCTAGTGATATACTTTTCCTTGTTCATTCTATTCGTCCTTCTCGGATTTCCTTTTTTTTTTTTTCCCTCCCAACTCTTCCTTATATTTCTACTTATGTTAAAAGCACATGTAACTTGTCAAATTTAGTATAAAATATCAATTATTTATCAATAACAACGCATCTTATTTTATAATTTATTTCTATATAATATTGATGTCTAATATAAATTTTATAAAAATATAATTTTTTTTTTATTTACACTAATAATAAATTATTTTTAATTTCCATTCCCAGCTCAGTTCAACAAAGAATTAAGCAAATTTAAATAAAAAGTTAAGCGCTCATTATTGTACGTAGGGTAATAAGATATCCCCGCCAAACAGTAGAAGAACAACTATGAGAGGTGAAGGGTAATTATCCCCTTGAAGCGATTCAATCACACTGATTGCAGTTGCAGACAGGTGCCATGACGATTATCGTACGGAAAAATAAAAGTCCAAAAAAGGAAGCACGTTTTTCGGCCTCAGTTGGTAACTGATATACTTCTGGCCAAAAAAGAAAGGTTAATAATTAATATACTAATTAATTAACGATGGAATAAATTATAATTCAGATTCTAAATTCTAATTAATAATGCTCGTTTTAAAGAATGTAGATGTAGGATTTGACTCCAGGCAGACCTGTTTGTCTTCGGTCTTCACATCTGTTAACTATTTTCAGCTAGAAAATTATGGAAACGGAAGACTCGCAATTAGATGGAAAAGTTCCATCGTTTTAACTATAAAAGGGAATTCCCCCTTTCCTTTCTTGATCACCAACCTTCCTTCTAATCAAAGGTTCTCTCTCCCTTTCTCCCTTTTCTGTCTCCATTATCTTCACTGTCTTCTTTTCTTTCTGCTAGCTCCCGTCTCTTCTTACTCCGATTTTCGCATATCATTTTCCATGTATCTTCCTTTCAGTTTTGTTCCTCCTTCCTTCTCCATTTTGGTTTCACTCAGCAGCCTCCATTAGGATCGAAACGGCAAAACCCAAACATTCCAATCTGAAGTTTTATGCTTGTATGCTAGTGAGCTTTGGTTGTGGCGTTACTTTATTCTGGGTTGACTGTTATCCCCAGATCTGAAACCTGGGCTTTTACCTAGGGTTTTCGCCTCTCTCTTGCTGTGGACTACTTCTCCAAGTTTTGGATACACACTTTTCTTTTTTATTTCTGATCACGCGCTATCTTGGGGTATTTTATGTGAGGTTATAAATCTGAGAACGTGAGGAGTAGAAGAACAGCTTTGATTTGTATTTACTTCTCTTGGTTTTGTTTCCTCACAGAGAGAGAAAGAGAGGGATATTATATAGCGGATGGCGAGGGAGAAGATCAAGATCAAGAAAATCGACAACGTGACGGCGAGGCAGGTGACTTTCTCCAAAAGAAGACGAGGGCTCTTCAAGAAAGCCTCGGAGCTTTCAGTTCTATGTGATGCTGAGGTTGGTCTCATTGTCTTCTCTTCCACCGGCAAGCTCTTTGAATACTCCAGCTCCAGGTACTACACTCTCTTCACTCGTCTCAGAAACCACTTAATTAATTTCCTCCTCAACAGTTTTTTGCCTTCTCATGTTCACTTCCATGAAAATATCCATGTGCTTCCTCTTAGCTTCTATTTCTGTGTGTGGGAGAGAGAGGAGCGTGTTCGGGAGTTACCAGAACTGGTGATGTCTCCGAACACAAATCCTTGTATCATTACACGCGTCTCTTTCTTGATGTTATGGAAATCCATAGTTTAATAGCTACCCTTCATATAATTAGTAAAGAAAACAAGTTTTACTCTTCGAGAAAACAGTAGCATCGTTTACACAACCTGGGTGTGGTTTAAAATTAACCACCTTGCTCTTACAAGCCCCAAAAGCCGTTTGTTCCTTTAATCTAGGCTCTACACCGATTTGAAGAATCCAGACCACCCATAGTCTGTCGGATTACGGACTGGTAAATATCGAAATGCTTACGAACTTATATATGCTATTTCGGTTCTGATTTGGTTTATTTGTTTTACCAGCGTTATGATGTGTTAAATGAATATTAATCAAGTGGCGTCATGCTATGCTGCTCACTGACCCACATATACTGTTGTACGTTTACTTTCTTTTCTAGATAGCTAGGCTCAAATATCTATTATGAATTCGCTGTGCCTGTGTTACGCCTTTGATTTAGCTCCACTAACTCTTAAGGCTCAGTTTATTTGTATTTAATTAAACTCATGGTATCCAATTGTTTTCTGCGTGATACACCTGGCTCTTCTGTTTTGCCATATCTTCTTCCTCTTCTCGTTGGATAATAATATTCACTACTTGTTAAGGAAACTGTAATGCACAGTATATGTATTTACATTTTCCCAACATAGCCCCACAAGTAAATTGTAATAGAAGTTTGATATAATCCCGGTTGTTAGATAAATTATATTTTGAAGGTCTGGTGTTTATTGAATTACTTATAATTGGTTAGCTTTGATAGAGATGTATATATACTTAGGAATTCGAATATACAAGTACTTTGGAAACTATTATAGCTAATTAATTAATCAGTTTAATTGATTGCTTATATTTGAATCAATAAATTTTACAAGAAAATAAAGCTCGTTTTATGTCTTGAGCTGATCTCTCTTGTCTTGTTAAGGGCTTCCCTATAAAACTATGCTTGCGAATGTTAGATCATAGCATTAAGCCTGCAGTGAAACTTTCTCAGTCACAAGGAAACATTGGGGATATCGGGCAAGCCATGAAGCCAAGCAAGATATGTTTTTAGCTTAAAAATATAGTGCTGAAATTACATATAATATATTACTTATCGGCGTAGGTGAAAGTGAAACAATGTACCTCTCTACTCAAATGGTTTTGAGGTGAAAACTTTAGATGCTTTAAAAATTGGTAGTGATGAAAATCAATCTAATTAATTCAACGAACCCGTCATACAGATACAGCACCTTTCTCGGAGGGATGTTATTTTCATACTATTGGAAAATTCATGAATCTAAAAGCTGGCGTACGTCGTAGATAATATAGACCATACCTCGGTGAATGATAATGAGAAGACTTGTAATAATAAAACCGAAACTAGCTTTTGATCCACACCAAAAGTTGAAGCCAGTTTTATCCTCTCGAGGTTACGCATGTTATACACTACTTCTAATCCTAATTATAAGAGTTAGTTGACTAATTTGAGGAGATTAAGAAAAAAAGTTAAGTTAGTTATTTGTAATAAGTAAGTGTTGTTTTTTTTAGGATTAAGGTGCGTCCAGCACCCTGAACTATTTTTCCAGGTGCATCCATTGTTCTAAAGTAATTTTTGGTGTATCTAGTGTCCCAAACTAATTAAAACGGTGCATCCATATTCCGGGCTAATAGAAAAATTAAGTTTGACCGTTAGTTGATTGAAAAATCTAACGTGGCAGACACGTAGGTATCTGATGTGTATTATCTTGACGAATTAAGGTGTGCCCAGCATTCTGAACTATTTTCCCAGGTGCGTCCAGTGTCATGAAGTAATTTTTGATGCATCCAGTGTCCCAAACTAATTAAAACGGTGTGTCTACATCCCAGGCTAACAGAAAAGTCTCATTTGACCATTACGTGTTGATTCAGCTGAAGGTTGATCAAAAATCCTACATGGCGGACATGCAGGCGTTTGATGTGTATTGTTTTGACTGAAAATTTAATTTATTTCCTCCTCTTCTAACATTTATCTTCTGTCAGTTTTTAAACTTAAAAAAAAAAAGACCACCGATCTACCCTCTTAAATCCTGGTACATGTATCCACCCATTCAATTCCATCCTTGTCTTTAACATTTTATCCCATTTCCTCCACCACTCCGATTTGAAACCACAACCGCTGTCACAGCATACTTCCATCTTCATCTCTGTCGACTCCTCATCTGACTCGCATTTGCTTTTCTTCTCGTAGAACACAGTAAATTTCCCCTTAGTCACTCCATTGACATTGTCATTGCCTTTTGAGAAAACACCCACTGTCACCTGGCTCGTCTCGGGAGCTTTAGTCAAAATAATACCTATCAGACGATTACGTGTCCGTCATGTAGGATTTTTCGGTCAACCTTCAGCTGAATCAGCAAGGTAACGGTCAAACGAGACTTTTCTGTTAGCTTAGGATGTGGACGCATTGTTTTAATTAGTTTGGGACACTAGATGCACCAAAAATTATTTTAGGATACTGGGCGCACTTGGAAAAATAGTTCGGGGTGTTGGGCACATCTTAACTCGTCAAAATAATACACATCAGATGTTTACGTGTCCGTCACGTCAGATTTTTCAGTCAACTAACGGTCAAACTTAACTTTTCTGTTAGCCCGGGATATGGATGCACCATTTTAATTAGTTTGGGACACTGGATGCATCTTAACCCTTTTTTTAAAAATATCTTTGCCAATCAAGTGTATTGATTAGGGTTATCATTGTTGGAAGGACTATCTTGAAAAAATATATAAATATGAAAGACAAAGTAGATTTGGGTCTTATAAAAGTCAAACAAGATCTTATATTAAGAATAGGAGGTAGTATCTTATAGAACAACTGAAATGGCTCCCCATCTTCTGCTATAGTTTATGTTTCAAAATTATTGACTAGAAGCTATACGTCAGCAATAAGGACAAATTGAAAAAAACAAAAAAAGGATCGGTTCTTGTTGGACAATATATTTCAATTGATGCTGTTTCTATGGAACTTCGAATATTACAAGCTGTATTATATAACAATAGAATGAAGGAGTAAGTTTTGAAATACTGGTCCTTAATTAGATGTTGCTTTGCACCTGCTAGTCGAGAAATTCACAAGGCAATTAGGAAGACTGATGTTAGGATTTGTGGTGCCCTTGATCAACGCATTCTTGGTTGCTGGATGATTACTATGGAAAAATAATCTTAAAAGTTCGCTTAGTGAGAGTTAAAATTTGTTATGATGTAGAACAAGAAGAAAGAGTTAAAATTTCACAGTACGCATGCATGTTAAGTAGACATTATTTGGCCATATGTAGACGGACATAAACTAGAAATAAAGATTTAGGCCAAAGTTAGGTTTTGCTATCTCAAGGTTTTTCTTCAAGAGAAGCATAATATATACAAGTGGAGGGACATTTATTTGAAAAGTCATATTCTTATCCAAAATCTTATTAACAAATGCCTAAAAATTGTATTGAAAGTTTTCCTCACTAACTCCATTGCCTTTTTCAGACTCATGATTTTTTTTTTTGGGTAGTTTCACCCCAAAAGCATGGATGTCTAACTGGATAATCATATAAAGTGAGTGATTGGACATCTTATTATTTTTATACTATCTCCGGTCTTATTTATAAGAGCTAGTTGACTAATCTGATGAGATTAAAGAAAGAAGTTAAGTTAGTTATTTGTAATAAATATGTATTTTTTTCTAAAATATCTTTACTAATCAAATGTATTATTAGAATTATTATTATTAGAAAGACTATCTTGAAAAAAAAAAATACGCAAGACAAAGTGAATGAGGGTCTTATATTTATAACCAAAATAAAAGTCAAATAAAGTCTTATATTAAGGAGCAGAGGTAGTATCACTTTGATTTCTAAGAACATTATATGTCTGAGATTAGCTTTTCTGTTTCTGCACAATTTGGACAGTTTCTTTTCTGTTTGACCGGCCTAGTTCAGACTCTTTAATTGTTTCATCAAATACAGATGTATTTAATAGTTCTCTGATACCAGTGATGGGGGAATCACGCAGAAGTAATTTTATTATTACTTCTTTTTTTTTTTGTGTGATTCGTTTAATCACTTGTTTTCCAAAAGACGATATCGCTCATGATAATGCCAGCGAACCATTAGATAATGTCATATTGTGTGGAGTTTGAGGTTCAACCATTTACGATTGATAATGAAACGAATACGATCTTTGTGAAGGATGGCTTCCTTCTATTGCGTGCAAGGCATTAGAAAATTTCTGCATATGTTCGCTTAACGGTGAACCTGATACTTAAGATTTTCAGACGTTAAGGGCAAGGGAATCATCAACTGAATCTTTGATGATTGGACTTGATAAATTAAATTCAGCACTGTTTTAGACGATGGATATTAACATCCCTGAAACTGTATATATGGAAGTTAGGCGTGCTTGTTTTGTTAATTATTTAGCATTTCAACCTGTACTAGCTAGCTAGTTCCTCAGTGAAATTGTTCTAAAATCTTGAATTAACTTATAGCGCGACTAACACTTCTTTTTTCCCTTTTTAAATTTGGTAAAGCATGAAGGACATAATTACAAGGTATAATATGTACTCTCGTGACATCAACAAACATGACAAACCATCTCTAGAACTGCAGGTATATGTATAACAATCAACTGAAGCATTTGCTTTCTCTCCTGTGTGTGTATTCTTGTTGTCACCATTGTGCTTCTTTCCCTAATGAAACTTTTTCTATCCAAATCATTATTACGTATCTCGTTTCAGATAGAGAACGGCGATAACTACAAATTGGGCAAAGAAGTCGCCGAGAAAACACAGCAGCTAAGGTATCATCTGAATGTTGGATTGTTTAACGTGAGAAAGAGTGATAGAAAAAAATGAAGTTTGAATGAATTGGACTTGTATGTGTGTAAAACCAGTGTATGCGTCTGTTGAGCAGGCGCATGAAAGGCGAAGATCTTCAAGGACTAAACGTAGAAGATTTGCTGCAACTGGAAAAATTACTTGAAGCAGGACTTGGCCGCGTAATTGAAACGAAGGTACAAACTTAGACCTCGTTTTCTTCTAGTTCGTCTGATTTGGGGTTAAAATCATTCTATATATGAGCTGATAATATCGGTAACTTCGGCAATTCAGGAAAATCGGATTATGAGTGAGATCGCTGCACTTCAGAAAAAGGTTTGTTGAATATTCGTTTATGTTTCATAACATTATAAACATCATATATATACATAGCTGTCGAACTTAAATTGAGCATGGTTCATAGTATTCAGTGAAACAATTATTACTTGGGCCAAAGGAATTTCTGTGCCTAAATATACAACCCGCGCGCCCATCTCATGGCCTTAACCAAATTTATTTGCTTTAACTTTACGTGTACTCCTCGTCTTGGTGGCAATATATATGCAAATCATGAAGGGGATAGAGTTGGTGGAAGAGAACAAGCAGCTGAAGCAGCAGGTAATGAATCAATCAACAAGGAACATTTGTACTTAGTGTGTGTGTTCAAACTTGCCGTACGTTGTATATAATTTGAGGTTAATAAATGATGGGGCGTAGATGGAGATGTTGTGTAGAGGAATAATGCAAGTTCAGGCGGTGGAGTCATCAGATATTGGGATTCAAGAAGAAGGCGTCTCGTCGGATTCCATGACGAACGTTTACAGCTGCAACAGTGGCCCTCCTCTTGATGATGATTCCTCGGACACTTCCCTCAAGTTAGGGTAACTCTCTCTCTCTCTCTCTCTCTCTCATGTACACAAACTATATTCAACAACCAAGTCTCTGATAATTGTCTTTTCTTCGATCAGGTTGCCTTACTCCAACTGCAAATAGGAAGCTGTGACTGCTAATTACTTGGTCTATAACTATAATAGCAAGGTTTTTCCCAGCTGGCTATTATAACCGTTGTTTTAGTAACATAAACGATATGTGTGGGCGTTAGGTTTGTGATTTAATATGATTAACCTGTGCCTCGTCCTCTCCATCTCCCATGCATCTAGCGGTCATCCTTGCTTGACCATTTGTGATCCCACAAATTAAGAGAAGTTGTCTCTCTGTATTATGGGATATATATATATATATATATATATATATATAGACATACACACGTTAAATTATTACAGGACTTGTGTCTCTATCACGGATTCCAACTATATATAGCTGTTTAATTATCCAAACCACCTTGCGTGCGTGTTTTTGTAATAACGACATTTTGAAAACTAAATGGATGAATTGTCTTTATGTTTTTTTTTTCTCCTACCATATGATGTTCATTTTCATGAAGCGTATGTAATAATCTTGAGAGTATCGTGCACGTGATGGGTCTATTCTCAGTTTGGCGAGACTACTAATCATGTACTGAGAAATATATAAATTCTAGTTGGCATAGATGATGAGATGACAATAATATGCACGATCGAGAGTTGGGGGGTGGGGGGAAGAGAATGAAATGAATTTTTATTTTTTATATTAAACACCAGGAAATAAATATTGAGAAGTCAAATATTAAAACTAAGTCTTGGATGTGGTAGTGGGGTCATTTGACCAAATTTTTGCCAATTTGAGATAAAAATTAAGTTTTTTTTTTTAAAGTTGAAACTTGATTTATATTTGAGTAATTTTATAATAAAAATATGTCCAAAAATACGTGTTTGCAAAATTTGTAAGTAGAAATTAATTGATATATAATGTATAGATATTGGCGACGTATTTTTGTAAGGGACAAAAAAAATTAAATTTACTGGTTCGAAGTTTGGGTGACAATTGAGGAGACGAAAACTTGAGAATAATGTCTTGAAAATAGAATAAAAGTCTGTAATGTAATTTTCAAGGACGAGTCCATCTATACAAGTCTTTGAAGGGTGCGGTTTATTTTATTTTATTTTAATTTTTTATGTAACTATACATGTGATGTTTAATAATATTAAGTCTCCAGTATTGTCCAGTTTAATTAAAGATAACCCTCCCAAAAATATTTTCTCTGTGTATACAAATTTTAACTCAGTTTCATATTTAAACTGATATAGCCCTTTTTGATTAGAGGATTCTATATAATGTACGAAATTTAAATTTTACTTTATTTGGAGCTTTCCTAGCAATTTAAGAAGACAAGGAGAAGAAAGAAATAGGAGGAGGATAGGATATTATTCTGAGGATCAGATGCTAATCCCTTTTCAATTTGAGCAAAAAGCAATATATTCTCAGGATCAGGTGTTACTTTGGTACGCAGAGAAGGCGATGCCCAGCCACAAAACCATTAACAGCTAAAATATAATGTCGAGGTTATGTGTGTGCGTACGTAGGAGAGATTTGAACCTTTTAAGTCAACACTTTGTTTGGGGCACAAGTGGCTGGTGACTATTCAACCAATATCAAGGTAACGTCCATGGTCATGCAATTTGGAGAAGAAATTAGATTGAATTCAAATGTATGAATCAACTGAAGATAAATATCACTAGACAACAATTCAGTCAATCTCTTAACAAAACCATAGGATTTATCCTAGTTTTCTTCACACGTTTCTTCAGGGCACAATTTAATTTTCCATAAATATTTAAAATTTAAATTATATTTTAAGATATCATTTGTATACATCTGCAATGCTATTTTATATGATACCATCTGTTTTATAATATATAAATTTTGGTGTCTAACTTAGCAAGTGTGGTCATTTCTGTTACATGGAAGTGTAGGGATAAATGCATCATTAAGAGTTTTGAGAACCATGCCTCGATAATAGAATTTTTGCCTGAAAGCAAAAGAAGAAAAACAAAAACAAAGTAGATGTTGCCGATTTCTGTAATTTCATTTGAGTAATAAATTGGCCGTTTTATAGATGGGGAAAAAATGCATAAAAAAGGAAAGCCAACAAGCAAGTTCCCAACCGGTTGAAAGTGACTAATTTTTTAATTATAATACTCATCGAAAAACATGTGGATATATATATATATATATATATATATATAGCAATGTAGGTTCCCTACCTTTTTTTTCCTTCACTTTTGAAGTAATTATAGAAAGTATGTTTTCTTTTCAAAATATCTTAAAGAACATTTAGGAGAATACATGTAGACTGGTGTCTCTCTTTCTCCTCCATTTCTTTTGATCCGTTATATTGTTATCCAAATAAGAAAAAATATATCTTTTTCTTTTATTTTCTCTTTCCTTTTCTTTTCTCTTTTGTCCATTCATAGGATAAGGTGAGATGTGATACACTCACCCTAATGTGAGAACCTATGCAAGCTTCAATCTAGAAAGCAATTCCCACAGCTTAACGTCAAAATGGACTTAGTTATGCAAATGAATATAGACATCAATTTCAGCGTTAATAATGGGAGCAACTGTTGGAGAAATTAGACTTTTTCCCCCAGTTTAAACGAACATTGAATTTTTTTTTCTCATTATCATGATAAATATTAACTTGACCAAAAACCAAAACTCTTAAGCTTGTTTGCTTCCATCGGCGGTTTTTTTTTTTTGGTACCATCTGTGTTCAAATTCCCAAGTGTTGTGCTTCTCATTTTAGTTCCCAAAACTTTTCGAATCGAGGCCGAATAGGAAGTCCGAACCAACTCCCTCGGGGTTGCACGCCAACTCACCCCCTCCTTCACGCGAGATTATCAAGGCCAGCGTTGATAACTTGATGGTACTCAGTTTCCTTGCGTTTCACTTGATTTGGATCGTTAAAGGTGCCCCCAGTCAACGATTCATAAGCTTTTTAACTCTCGTTTTACATAATTCCAGAAAAGAGCAAAAGATTCTGGATTTCTTATTACCATCCAACCCTTGAATCAACAACTATGTACATACACGGGCAATCAGCTATCGGGAATTCAATCAATGCACAATAATGCCAGCTTTTAAAAAACGGCTGGATCACTTTTTGCATGTATAAATTTAAAAGGGCTACACTGCGAATCCAGCTAATCGCTCTGCTGCTTGGTGGAAACTTGACCATCCTTTTTATCCTTGCCAGCAGCGGATCCATTTCCATGTCCATTTCTTGGGGCAGCAAAATCTTGTGCCTCAGTGGGGATAGGAGGTGGAGTCATTTCTTCGTCAATTGGAAGGGTTCGTTTTGAACCCTCTAGGGCAACGCCAAGAACAATATTTTCTTCCAATGAAGGCCTGGCTGGGGATGCAGCATATTTGTCTTCTTCCTGCTTTGCCTGTAAAGGTGCAGCAGGAGTAGTATCTCCCCTTCCAGCAAACCCATGTGAAGAAGAAGCAGAAGAATTTTCAGGAGCAACACTTTGAGCAAGTTCTTTATTTACTGGGGCAGCTGGCGCCTTTCCTGCATCTCCTGCACTTTCCTTTCTGGGCTGCGTGGTTTTGGATGTCTTGACAGTACTATCAGAACCCATATTCTGAGCTTGTGCTTCAGAGATTGATTTTGATTTATCCCTGGAGTTTGCGCTGGATGTTGATGTTGATGTCGCTGCAATATTGTCATCTTTGAAATCAGATGTCAAAATTTCATCAATTTTAGCATCTTTTTCTTCGCTCGGGCGTGTTGAACGAGTAGGAGCCTTGGTCCTATCTTCACCATTAACTTTGGAAGGTGGCTCTATCAGTAGAAATGGGCGATTTGCAGCTGCTCTGGAGCGAGTAAAAATGGTATCACCAAATGGTATGTTTTCCAAGTCAGCCTCACTGTATATTTTCTGGACTGTGCGGATGGGTGTGGCTAGCCGGGCTCGATGATGACTAATAACTCTCAGAAGATCCAAAAGGATTGCCTCCTGTTTTATTACAAGTAAATTGCCTCAAGTGAGACACTCATACACTACCCAAACAGAGCAACTTGAACATAAGTTAAAAAGAATAAAATCTTATATGCAGAAATGCAGCATTGCAATTAGTTGACAACCGGGATATTTGGGTCCAAATCCTTTTTCACAGGGCACATGAAAACCCACAATACAAAAAGGAACACAAAGCTATGCCATAACTAAAAGTAGGTTTAAGTATCTTTATATTTACATTTATAAAGATGTCAATACTCAATAGGCATAAAGCATACCAACTACTTCGAGTTTATCTTACCTGGACACACAGGTATTCTTCAAAATGTGAAGTTTTAACAAAGCAAGATACTAGTATCTGCAACAAGAAAAACTCTTGTAAGATAAAGAAGGGAGGACACACACGCAGAGATTAACAAAGAGAAGAAGGAAAAAATTTTGGGTGGGGGGTTAGCGAATAGCATTAATATCTATCTTCAAATGCCTCAAGTTTATAGATATGACTTCAAAGACAGATTAAACCTAGCATAGCATATGCAGAAATTTGAAAAATCTTTTGGCCATAAGAGACAATGATTAGGATTTACGAGCGCTTTTATAAGCAATATGCTACAAGCATGATTGCCCAGCAGATCACGAGGTTAAATGTAATACCAGACACCTGAGTGACTAACAGGCAGAAAACTCAACCTACAGGTAATCCGGTATAAATTTTGATGACTAATTTATTGAACACCGGAACTACATAATAAACCCACAAAATTTCATTCCAAAACGGACAACTGAAGGCTACAATAAAAAAGAAGGATAAGAGAAACAACTGCCAGAAACCATCCAAATGCCATCTTTCTCTCAAAACAGCACAGAACATACTAAAAAAGGCAAAGTAAAAGTCAAAGTAAAGGACAAAACAAGATAGTGGAATTTTTATGCTTATTTCATAAACAACGGAACAAATCAGACACTTACCATAAGAGACTGATTTTCAGTATTGACATGCTCAAGAAAAACCCTTCTGTGCAACTTTTGTTGCTCCACCAGAGGATTTTTGGCCAAAACTTTGCGCATATCAGCAACAATATTCTGAATGAAGATGATAGTCATGCAATAACCTTAGTTTTGAGTGAGAATGTACTTACCGGGAAGAGCTGGAACAAGTTCATGAATAAATACGCTAAAATTGCTTACATTAATTTTGTTAACATCCAAGTGACTAATAGCAAGGTGAGTCTTGATGCGCCAATGAGTTCTCTGAGTAAGATTCCGCACCACGTTGACAGTGAATTTGTGATTAGGAATATGAACTGCTTCACGATCATCACCTCTAACTATAGTTGGGGACCACCAACCGACGTGCTGGGGAAAATATGGATCATCTTATTACAATTAAAGATAAATGATAAAAAAAATCTACAATTGATACTGCTACTTCAATTTGTCACACTCACAAAAAACATGGAGACCACACATGGAAAAATTAATTGGACAACATTATTATTATTAATTCTATATTTTAAAAATCATGTGGCATGGATAAGATAGGTACAAACCTCAACTACACCAGAAACCTCGTATCCATCAATCTTCGTTTTAATCCACTCATTTACAACAAATGGCCGGGTTGCATGAATCATTACACTTGAAAGGAAGTTTGTAAATATCTGAATGCAGAAAACACATGGAGTAAGAAAAGCAGAAAACAAGAAGAATCCATCCGATTGATAATGGCAATGTTAGATGACTTAGTCATATGAAATTAGATGAAATCCAATCTAAAGATTGTCCATGCAAGAGAAAGAGTATCTGAACCTTCCATTCTAACAAACAACGCCAAAGAAACTGTACTGTACCTCACGGCCAGCTAGTGTTAGCAATACTGTACCCAAACCACCAGCAGTTACCCACTTCTGTGTGGAGAAACCTAGCAGCTCCATGAACAATGATACAGCAGCAACCCATACAGCAGTATACACAGCTTTCCCAGCAAAATCAAAGCCCACCTGTCATTAAAAGTACAATTTGTTTTTGAATGATACTCGATTTTACATTTCAGAAATGCTCTGGAGACCCAAGAAAAGGAAATTAAGAAGATTGGGAGGTGGGACTCCTTCACCAAGCAATCCAAAACAGAAAACGGAGGGAAAGAATTATATGATCTTATACCATATCTTTATAAACATATAAACTGAAAAAACCAGCTGTAAATAATTATTCATAATACCAACTCAATATTTTCCAAACGTCAACTATTTTCCTTATATTTCTTTGTCTCATAGAAGGCCTTCTTAACATTCATTTGAATGCTCTCAAAACAAAAGTAACTTACCCATCGGAATTATTGCAGCAAATTGCAAATTGCAAATTGCAAACAACGAACAATAAAGTCATGATAAAGTAGGGGAAAACAACAATAACAGAAACATACATTTCTTGCATCATTGGATTCGTTTGCCTCCGTAAAGAATATTTGTGCTTGTTGAATTAAGCTGAAATCAAGAGGCACAATCATACAACATTATAATTTGTATAAGACATAGGACCTAGTACAAATAGCAAGATAGAGCAAAACAAAGAAAAAGTTTATAATGAAATCACAAAATACAATGTTTTTTACAAATGACACTAGCAGGACACTGAAACAAAATAATCACTCAGCATAAAAATAATTTCAAAACAGTATAGGAATATCAGGTAAAAAATAACTCCAACAATATAAAATATTAAAGCCATGTTTCTGTAAGATACATAACAACAACAACTTACAGAATAACAACAACTTAGTTGATTTGTCAATTTCTTATGACATTATTTAACGAGAAATCAAGTTTACCTTGATAAACAATAAGCAAATGAGAGCACAGTTGACAAAGATCTCGCAAAATTCAGCAGCCGTTGCTTCACTGCCTGGCTGGCTTCTGATGGTAGGTTCAGTGGATCTAATGCCCTGACACAATCAATGCTGTAGCTAATGCCAATAGGAATGGGACCTACAAGTGGATAACAAACAATAGTTGATCCAAGCATACCTGCAGGTGAGAATAACCCCAGTCCACAGCAGCAAAGGCTGAAGATAAGATGTCATAATATGACGCGAACTACTTTTCTTCCAACTATTATCATTCCTCTGCAAAAGTCAATTAATTATAGTAAAAGCACTCAATCAGATTTAGACAGTATCATGAATAACTGATAAGATTAGGGATGGTAGCTACTTGAAAAAATATAATCCTGCACAGACGCATGAGAGGTTCAAGACCACAAACAGCAAAGGCAATGACACCAAGGGCCGGGATCAATTGAGTAGTGACAGCGCTTCCTTGCAAAGCATCATATGATCTGCATTGTATATTTAAAAATATTTAAAATTAATTTGATGGAGATAATATATTCAACGATAATGAGACAGAAAGGAAGAAGACACACGACAAGAACAACAATAAAATAAACCCAGCTGATACAAAGTTTTTAACAATAATATTTACAAGTTCATATACTAATCAAATTAGATTCTCAGTCCAGTAAACCTGCTCCTCCACCAATACTAAAGGTAAAGAAACAGCGTTCCAGAAGATATGTTCAAGACTATTAGCAAATATTTGTGATGCAAGCCATTAAACAGGTAGATAAGCATATGGGGGCACAAACTAAGCATGCGTTAATAGTGCGCGCGACACTATGTTACTGACAACAAACCAGTACTTGGAGAGAAGAATCAAATCAAAGTAAACAAGATATCAAAGAAAGTTTACAACAAAAGACATTTTATACACTACGGTTACGTTTATGTAAAGCATAACACATGCCAAAAATACCCATGACATAAGCATGATTCCATGTATTTATGGTATTAGCTATAGGAAGTAGAAATTGAAAAGTGCATATCTCAACAAACTTAAATTTTATTGTACAGTGATAGAGGGTGGTATCGAGAAATTCATATTCATTTATGCAGAGGCATGTCAATAATTTGTCAAAACTTTCCACAACAGAAAGGAGAAGGAGAGAGAAGACCTTTTCAGGATAACAGAAGCAGATTTTGTTAACGGGGTCCAACTGCCTCCGCCTGGTATTAATATGGAACGGCACAATAAAACATTACATCTGGAAGGAACAGGCCTTAGTGGGGCATGTACTTTACTTAAAAGATGGAGAGCTGAAGAATCACGCCTCTGTTAACATACACAATGAATTCAACAAATAATATAAAACAACAACTACACAGAAAGAGCAATGCAAATGAAACTGACAGGAAATATCAATCTAGAAAATAAATAGAAATATAACAGACAGATACATTCAGCAAATCATAGAGACTAGAAAGAATAGAATTGTTAATCCATGAAAATGAAAACCATACCAAACCATGCGGCAAAAGATTGATATTAACCAAATGTAATCGACCAACGCCCATTGGTTTCTGTCAAGGAAAACGGAAATGAAAATCAGCATTCTAAAGTTCAAACTGACATGAAAACATAGGATATTTTCCCCGGGGGGGGGGGGGGGGATCAAATGATAGCATACATGATGAAAACTGCAGCATCCACCATTGTCGTAGGCCCTAATGTCGTGAGACAGCTGCATTGAACCTAGATAGGCCATCGTTGAAGTGAAATAGGAGGTGAGGCAATGAGTACAGTATCATATCCCATGTCGACACCAGTAGATCATTTTAAGCCAAAGCTAGTGTATGTTAAAGGAAAAGAGATAGAATAATGGCTTTAGCACGAGGAGGAAGTACAAAAATTGATTGCAAGACTTCATCTTTTTGGAAACGAAAATAATAAGAATATGTAATTTCTAGTCTCAAAACAATTTCACAGCAACTGAACTAAGCTAAGTGATTCGCAATTGCACTTGAAAAGAAAAGCCCTAAGTTAATACAACATAGCTCATCAAATTCGGGGCAGAATCCATAAATCATCCATCAGCACGTCACTCGACAGTCCCAAAAAACTCTTCAAGAAATATGGACATGTATACAAAGAAAACCATTTGCTTAAAAATTAAGAACTGGCTTTCGAAGGAAGAAGGAAAAACCTGATTGTCACTGGAATTCCCAAGTTCCTGGAAATTGAAGAAATTTCCCGGGCAAGCTACTCCCAAGGAAAACAGGAAGAGATACTGCGAGGAGGAAAAAATCATAAACCAAAGAGGAAGGAAGAAGAAGTTCGCCTCGCAGCAAGAAATGGTTGGAATTTCCGAATGATTTATCTGTAATGGCCGCTGATATTTTAGAGTCGTGAAGAGGTAAAAATAGCCAGACGGGGATGACTTGAGCCCTCCTCCTTCTAACCTGCGCCAATTTGCGAGTTTATTCTGCGTGGTCCAATCAAAACGCCCAATTTCGGATTAATTTGGCTCTTATTAGTGCTGCCCGCGAATTGCGAAATTGTGGATTTTTCATTTTTCCTTTTTTCCGGTTCCAACGAACTCGTGGATTTATGTGGCGCCTAGGAGATGATAGCTAACGTATACGACTACACGGCATGCGTGTCTGGCGCGTCCCCTTATCCCATCAAATCAACTTTATAATAAAATACGATGACATGATATGATAGTGTGTGTTTTTCAATTTAATTAATTTAAAAATTTTGAAAAATTAAAAAATTAATTAAATTAGTATTTATAATAAATAAATATTGTTTTTCATAATATTATGTATTAACTAAAATTAATATTTGATAAAATATTTAACATGTATAATTATTATAAAAATTACTTTAAAAATAGAATAAATATAAAAAATAGAATAAATCAAAATCTTATATATTTAGATTAAATTAAAAATTAAACTAATTTTTATATTAAAAACTAAAAGCAGTAATTTATTGGCCCTGCTCCTCCTCAACATAAAAATTTAGATGAATCAAATTAAAAACATCAAATCAAGTCTCACGAAAGAAATTTGAAGATTTACTGTGCCTGCAAAATTGTTTAAAACATCAAATCGAAAAATAAGATTACGGAAGTTGAAAAATCCCGGTCAAGAAAAGAGGGGAGAAGAAAAAAATCTTTACCTGAATTGAGTGGATAATAGAGCGCGCGGGGAGTTAGGTAAGGGGTCCCAATCAACCACGTGCAATAATTCTTAAAAGAAAATGTGACGTAGCTTTTTAAATTTTAATAAAGCAGTTATAAGCGATTTGCTTCATAATAAAGTAGCATTAAATTACATGATTGTACGTGTCATTCTAGTATAATATGGATCATTTTATTGTTATGTAAATGAGCTATTTTATCGTATCATATTATGCTATACAAATAATATGATTTAATTTCATTTCCCGAGCTAACGTCTCTGTATAATGTGGCGTATTATCGAATTGTTTTTCTTAGAAATAGTTCTTTTAGATTGTAGCATTATTTATAAAAACACAACAAATAGTTTCCTAAAAAATGATGTGCGTGTTAATGAAATGGGAGTATCATTTTTCATGTATATAAATATTGCACTGCATTATCTAGTGTAATGGGATAATACATGAACAGTAGAAAACTAGCGTGATAAAATTTTTCTTACGTAATTATCTTATATTCTATAAGTCACAATTAAAAAGTTTTTTATAAACTATTTTAAACAAGTCCTAAAACAGTTGGCAAACAAATTACTAATACTAAAACAAAATCACAAGTTCTGATACTGTAAAGAGTGTCGTGAAAATCGCCACAACAAAATCACTGCAACTCAGAAACTAGTACTAAAGCAAAGTCACAGGTTACAGCAAACTGAATTGCGCTCCTTCGTTTATTTTTTATATCCAACATACACTCTTCACTCATATTCCTTTAGTAAGCCTCGATCAAAATCAATGTCTCCTCTGCAGACTCACTCAACACGATGAAGAATCAAACCGGAAACTAGAGGCCTGTTTGTTTTTGCTTTTGTTCTTTGTTTTTTTATCAATGTAACATATGAACTGAGTTCTTACTAGCCGAGGTCGACGAAAGAGTTGGTGTTGTTGACTGGAAGAGAAAGAAGACAAGGCTTGTTTTGCTTGTAGACAGGCTCTTCATGATATATATTACCTCGGATCCTAATTATAAGAGCTAATTGACTAATTTGAGGAGATTAAAAAAATAAGTTAAGTTAGTTATTTATAATGAATATATGTTGTCTTTCCTAAATCATTCTTACTAATCAAGTGTGTTGGCTAAAACTACAATTATTAGAAGTACTATCTTAGAAAAAAATGAGAAAATATTAGAGACAAAGTAGATTGGAATCTTATATTTAGAACCAAAATAAAAATTAAATAAAGTTTTATATTAAAAACCGGAGGTAGTATTCTTTCAGTGTCTTGTCTTTGTTTACCTGGCCATCTTATGAGTTCATTTCAAAACTCAACCATTGCCCAAAAAAAAAAAAAGGGCAGACCCACCTTCATCCTCGTCTGATGAAGACATGTAATAATTATGAGTGTGTTTGGATCAGCAGTAAAAAAAATGTTTTTTATTTCACCTGACTTTTGTAAACGCAAGTTAGAGTAAAAATCAGCTAGTAGTATAATGTAATTTATATTTGTAGTTAGTTTGACAAGTTGAAACTTATTTAGATGATAAATAAAAAAGTAAGTCTACATGTAAAATGACTAAAAGTGACATGAGTATTATAAAAATAAAAAGAATCAATGTATTATTAAAAATTTATAAGTACTAAAAAATATATTTAATAAATAAAGTATAATTATAAGTAAATATAATGTTTATATAATAATATAAAAACATATCCAAAAACGTTATTCTACGTTTTTCTAGTGAATAGAAATATAAATATATGTAAATATATAATGTATAAAATAATATTAGAATTTAAAAATATTATAAGAACATATTAAAAAGCTATTTTACCCTTATTTTTATTATTGTCCTGGCGATATGATGTCCAGTGAAACAAGTATTCTTTCTAAAAGCGAGTCATTGACAAGCTATGTGAGTGAAGGATAAATGGCAGAAAATGAATGAAATTATCATCACAACTTAACAAATATTTAACAAAAAAAACGTTGGTCCAACGTGGCATATAAGACATAAGTTACTTCTAAACCACTGCTAGCCTAAACAACAAAAAACAGCCTTGTATCCCAAGAGTAACTTTTTACCTCAAAACGTTGATTCAAACACATGCTATAATGTCACGCGTGATTCAAGTTTTAGTGTGTTTTTTGTCATTTGAGCCAATCTCCAAAACTTGCAATTTAATTAGATTTATAATATAATAAGGAAAAATATAGCTCTTAAATCTCCTCTTAGTTATTGATTCAATATCTAAATTTTACCCTGATAGAATTGATTTCTCACACTAAGTTATAAAATCTTAATCTGGTTCAAATCAAAATTGAGGATTGAGTAATACTACTCCAGGCTCTCATTATAAAAGCTTGTTTGACTTTCAACTTGATCCTAAATATAAGACATCAATATATTTTGTCTCTCATATTTATTTATTTATTTTCCAAAGTAGTTATTGTAGTAATTGTATATGTTAAATGTTTCATCAAATGGTAGTTTTATTCTTAGCTAGTACACATGTTTAGCAAGCAAGGTATTTTAAGAAAGATAACGCTTACTTGTTATAAATAATAAATAACTAATTTAACTAATTTCTTTAATCTCTCCAAATTGGTTAATCAGTTTTTATATTAAAGACTGGAAACAATATTAAGAATAAAGTAACATCCAACATGTTATTTTACAAACATAATTAAAACATAATATCAGAAGCGTTAGATGCATAATAAAAATAATAATAGGTATTAATAAAATTAGAATACTGAACATAATTAAAAAATAATATCAATGCTAGATGCTACTTTTCTTTAATATTAATTGAGAAAAAGCTGGAGTAATTCCTAATTCCTGATTCCCAATTATTAAATCATCGCAATAGTCCCGACATCCTGCCTTTTTCACTGCCCTCGCAGAAAATTTGAAACATTCCTCTTTCCCTCCAGAGTCCAGAGTCACCAATTACGACGGCCAGGACACATTGCGCATGACGATTAGTTTAGACTTTCAGTGATAAAAATCTTCTGCTCTTGGAGGTTCATTTTCCCAAATAGCTCCTCTTTCACTGGATCGTTTCACGGTTTACGAGTCGCACTCACTTCCAAACCATTCTTCCGCTTTCTCTATCACTGGGACGACGATGCAGAAGGCGAATCGCCGATCCAAGCCGTTGAGTCCAGGCAAAACCTCTCCCAATGAAAAGCAACAATACGAGGAGAGGATTCGCGAGCTCGAACGACTAAACAAAGCGTATCAGGTCGGTGTCCTTTTTTTTTTTTTTTTAATCAATCCAGATTTTTCTGTGACCTGAATGGTGTTCCGGTTGCCTACTGAAAAAACAATTAGAAGTATTCTATTCTACTTCCTGATTTGTCAGATGGAGATCGAGGAACTGAGGCAACATGCAAGCGATTCATCTGCTCCTAACAACGGGTTAGAAAAGCTCAAACAAGATTATCTTCAAAAGCTGAATGCACTTGAACTGCAGGTGAGCATTATTTTGACAATGGAAACGAGTCTGGTAATTGAACGATCGTTTGTTACAGCATGCGCTATTACAGGCTGCAGAATTGAAAAAGAAACTGAACTCTCAGTCCCAATTCTCAACCCAAAGGAAAAGAGTTGATGACGCAACGAAGCAGTCTCAATTTGAGATTCAGTGTTTAAAGGCTCAGAAGGTGCCATGTTTATGTGGATCGGCAGACGCTGATAAGAGCTACTTTAGTTCTTCTCCATCCCTCATTTGCCGAGTACTGACGTTTAAGTTGACATATAGGTTCAACTGCAATGTAAGATGAAGCTAGAATCTGTGCAATCTAGATTATGCAAGGCTTCACTGGAAAAAGAAGTTCTTCAGGTAATGATCACATAGGTATAGAAGAAAAATGTTTGGGAACTTCTTAGATGTTGCATCCACTATCCACAATTATAGCAAAAGACTAATGAAAATTTCCCCTCTGCAACTTTAGCTTAAGAAAGAGAAGAGAAAGAATGATTATGAGGTTCAGAAGTTGCTGGCTTCAAACTTGACACTTAAAATGGTGGGTCTATGGACTTTTCAAAATTTCCCTCTCCAGTCATTGGAGCTATTATTAATTATTATGCTTACAGTTTCCACTACTCCTTGAGCTGTCAGGTATTGCAACGCAAGACAGAAGAAGCTTTTGTGGCTACTAAACGGTTAAGGGAGATGATAGAATCTCGAAAGGCTATACCAAATAGGGCAGCTGGTTAGATGTCCAATACTCAGTCTCTTGTTCTGAAAACTTCACCAACCCTCCCCCCCCCAAAAAAAAGAAAAAAAAACCCAAAAAGAAAGGTTTTAGCTTCTACTTAGCAATTACTTGTTTTGTTTGGTTCTCATTCAGGCGTCACGAAAGTCAATGATCGAGTTCAGGTATTTCACGATCTCAAAAAAAATTGCTGTAATGTTTTGTATATATTCATATAAATTTGTGGCGAGCTGTAGCCTATGAACTGTGTCAGCTCTTCTTTCTGGCTGTGTGCTATTAGCCTATTAAAGTAGAGAAATCGGTACATGGCGCGGAAAACTTTATAGCTTCACGTTAAACTCTTAACTCTATTGTTTTCTGCCGAGCATGTCAAGTTTGATTTGATACTAACCAATGTGCCACTCGCTCATAAATCCATTAGAACACACACGCACACACGTTCAGTTGGATGCTATGTGGTTCATAATCTGTGTTATGGATTGCATCAAATTATAGCAATCCGGAACTTCTCTTGCTTTTTCCCTTTTGCAGTGTAACATTTTATCCATAATTATCAACTGTGCCTTGTTTTGCCTTTTTGTTGTTGGAAAAAAATGACAGGGATTACTGATTATTTTGTTAAAGCTTGATATATTTTGGAAATGAACCTGGAATGTCAAGATTGTTCTCCCTCAGGGCATATATTTTGCTAACTAAACTTGTCCTTTGAACTTACCTTGCAATATTCTGTTCCGAAATTGATATCTTCCTATTAATTTTTACTCAGTCAATTAATTATGTCTGAATTTAATGGCCTGCAAGAGGAATCAACGATCTGCAATGTACCGTTTAATTTATAGGGGGAAAATGCTTCTGGATTATATTCTCATAACCAATCAGTACGATTCTTTAGTTGAAATGTACTCCAAACGAGTCCTAGAAGTGGTTAGATTTGTGTCTTCGGATCCAACCTTCCATAACTTCCTTAAAGGGGCTGGTGCAGGCTATTGAACATGAGCTAGAAGTCACAACACAGTTACATGAATTATGTTCTCAATATGAATCCCAAATTGAAGAGTAAGCATAAATTTCTCCTTCTATTTCCGTCTCGTTCATATTTTTGCTGAGTAGCATCGTAAGAAAATGATAAAACGTGGATACATTATAAATAAGCCAACTCGAGAACGAAATTATCAATTTCATCTTTACTTTTTTTGAAATGAGTGTTAATTTGAAAAGCATATTAATCGAAGCATCGAATTCTATATTTTGGTATGCTCAGGATGACCGAGGAAATAGCAAAGCTGAAGGAAGAGGCTGAGATACAGAGGCAGGAAAAGTTCAGGTGCAAAATGGAGCTCAGTTTTCATTGTGACTTGCTAACATTATATATCTGTACCTCGCTCAGTTTTTTTAACAACTTTCTCCGTTGCAATTCAAAGCCCTCCACTGCAGCATGAAGATTGTGACATTTTGAAGCAAGATTTAGATATTAAAGATCTGAAGGACCAAGTAAATGGCCTAGATTATCTACTTAGACAGTTGCGTTTACAAAAGAAGCTTAATCACAAGGATGAGATGCAGGTTTGTACCATTGACTTCAAACAGGAACTGCTAAAGTAACTAGGAACACGCATGATTCGAAGTTGAATCAAAGGATTTGTTCCATAGTTGGCGATATGAATTTTGTCTTTCTGAGTTCCAAAGCTTAATTTCGTTGAATGATATATCTGTTGAACTGCAGAATCAGGTTCGGCCTCTTTTCTCTGATGGTAATCATGACAAGCTAGAAGAAAAAATGAATACACCTGAAATGAACCTCTCCAGTGAAACAGAGGCGAAGAGGGATAAATCTGATGGGCTGTGCTGCTCATGCAGTAAAAAGTCATTGTGCAAAACCAGTAAATGCAGATGCCGGTCTGGTGGAGGAAGCTGCGGAACATCATGTGGCTGTGCACGCTTCAAGTGCACAAATAGAGAACTGAATCCTGTGGCGGCAGATGAACCAACGAAATCAGAAAATACGGAAAATGTTAAGACTGCTTCAGCTAATGATACAGTGGAGAATCGAAGCATGATCGCTTCTCATGGTGCAAAATTACTCGAGAGTGCACTTCTTGAGAAACCTGCTGCCGTTAGGGACAACCTGAGACGCAAAAAGAAGCCATTATCTGACATTCAGAACTCGCTGGTAATCTCCATCCTTGTCCACCTGGTTTTGCTGGTTCATTTCTATGGGATCTCGTTTCTGTTCGCTTTCCCTTTAATTACCATTTGCATATTTTGCCTTGCTTAGACCTTATATATCCAATGGGAACCTCAATATCCTCATGAGAAAAATAATCCTTCTCTCTATTCTTACTCCGTGTTATTATATTACATTATCAGTTTTCTAACTGGTTTAGTAATTGGCGGGAAATTCATGACAGGATGATTTGAATGCTAAGATACCAGACAAGAAAAAGAATGGGAAGAAGCCTGCAATTCAATTAGTTACCAAGGATCCACACTCCTCCCTACCGGAAAGTACCAAGTTCCCCGATGAAGATTAAGATAGCGTGATGCAGCCAAAAAGACTAAGAAAATTGAGGTTAAACAGGTTGGTAACACCGGCCACATCAGGCTGAGGCACACAAGATTCTTTTTTCCCCTCCATTTTTAAGCCGTCGCATTCATTTTGCGGGGTAAGCTTTGGTTAAAAGGAAATGAATATTCCTTACCTGTGCGTTAAAAAGGAGTGACAATGTTTCGAGTGTTTTTTTTTTTTTAAATACAAGATGTTTGAGTGTTGTTATTTGGCACAATACGGGGGAATTTCCAGCTAAGAAGTGATTGAGAGAATTTGGGGACCTTTCGATTTTTGTGTTGTCCAGTGTGAGTACATGCATCTCATCTTTCATCAACGAACAGGTGTATAATGAATCATGAGACGGCTTTTGTCAGTTCGAACAATATAGAATAAGTACCAGAATCTACGAAAGTAATATCTGAATGATCTTACTTCATAATTCTAAATAGAAATACTTCAATTATTTTTATTTGTTTGAAAGGAAAGGGAGAGGTAATATATATCCTTAAATATTAATCGGTATTACCCTGCTCATAAATCTCAATAACCAAGAATTGGAAATTGACATAGTAAGGAAATAAGAAACTATAGAATATATTGAATAACTCAAGCATTAAAGAATACAGAACTTAAGCACTCATACCAACAGTAACAAGACTAAGGCCTCATTTGGCATCACTTTTAAAATTACTTATTTTATGTAAATCGAAATAAAATTTTTCTTCCATACTTATTTCATTTTATAAATTACAATTAAAAAATTACTTATAAACCATTTTATAGGGCCCTAAAGTATTTGGCCAACCCTGAGTCACATGGCCTTTAAACCACCTTTCAACCAAAACAAAAACTAACGTCAAGGTTCTAAAACACCCATTCACTTATGAATTACACAATTTAGATTTCCATACAGCATGATACAACTTAGATTTCAAGATATCATCCTCATGCTACCTAACGATATGTTGCATTCTTAACCCTAGAGAATATAATATTGCAAGTTCTTGGGTATCTTGTAACTCAACAATGACCCACATAGGGAGAAATTCGTGATAATCACCACCTTCATCGGATTTCAAGCTTTGTTACCCAATAATTTAATTGGCTGGCTACGCATGCTGACCCAGTAGAACCATAGGAGCTAAACTTTTTGATTGCATTTTCTACTCCAAGAAATTCATATACATCCTCATCAAAAGCCGTGCTTATACTCCTCAGCTCATCAAGACTTAGGTCCTGAAGTTGGCATTTCTTTGACACACACAAGGCAACAGCTCTTCCTACAATATCATGAGATGTCCTGAATGGGACTTCCTGTATGTCAAGACAAAAGGGGTCAGAATCTGGAGCAAATCTGCATACTGAGGAAATAAAAAGAAAACAGAATTACATACAAGTGGAAAACGATAAATTAGTAATAATTAAAACTTTTTAAGTTTTTATACAATAGTCTTCTGGGTTGTGTTAGTTCAGAAAAAGGGGTGGCAAATGCATTATAGTGCTATAAATCAGAAAACTGCAACAATGTCAAAATCGTAGCCTTATGCACGCTTGTTAAAAATGGGTTTCAGTTGCTGGAATCCCTTATGCAAAAAAATAGTTTTTGGTAGGGAGCCAATGCAGAAAAGAGTGGAAAGGACAAAGACAGCTGGCAGCGGGCAATGCGGATTGAATTTCACATGGGAGTTCAAATTTGAGCAGGGAGTCAAGGGCAGTATTATGCCTCTTGCTTTTGATATTTTACCAGCTGCCTACCATGCATGTTGTAGTTCCATGAATTTCAATAACTTCTAAACTCTACAGACTACTAATTTCACAAATCACAAATGACCAAGCAGTACACGACTTACCTTATTGACAAGATAGTCAGCAAGTGTTGTTGCATCAAGATGACCAGCAGGTAAAGCCTTTTGTATTCTCTCTTGATTGAATGTAACATTCTGTGAAAACTCAGCTGATACCTCAAGCATGCCCAGAATAGTTTTAACGCTGTCAAATACAGGTTCTTTGTCTTCCTATCTCCAGAAAGAAAAGGTTTTTTGTAAGGGGTTAAAAACAAACAGTTAAATGTGGGTATAAAACGTGCAAACAACCGTCCGTGCAAGCAAGGGGGAGACTATTATTAATAGTATTATTATTGAACTGGCACATCAAACAGCCTCCTCAGCAATTATGCGGTGCGTATGAAACCAAGGTATATGACACCTCAAAATAGAAGACACGAAGCCTTTTTTTTTTCTTCCTGCAAATATATGAAGTTCAATACCTGCAAATCACGATTATAAGCATGTGGAAGTCCTTTGCATAAAGTGAGAAGAGTAACCAGGTCTCCTATGACCCTGGCAGACTTCCCACGCACAAGTTCCATTGGATCTGGATTCTTTTTCTGAGGCATTATACTACTTCCAGTTGAAACAGAGTCACTTGGTGTGATAAATCCGAACTCCTCAGAAGCCCACAATACCCATTCTTCACCAAGTCGAGAAAGATGAATTGCTGTGATGGCGTTGGCAGAAAGGAACTCCAATACAAAATCCCGGTCTGAAACTGCATCAATACTACACAAAATTATAACATGCAATCAGTTAGAAAAGAAAATATAGATTAATATGGAGGTAGAATACCAAGTAGCAATGATTTTTAAAGTGAAGCAACACACCTATTTCTCAATGGAGCTGTAAATCCTAAAGCATCTGAGGTCATGAATCGGTCAATGGGAAGCCCAGTACCAGCCAATGCACAAGCCCCTAACGGACAGAAATTCATCCTAGCCCTACAATCTGCTAAGCGACCAGCATCACGCTCAAGCTGCAAGAAAGCAATACATACAGTTAATAATTAGATGCCAAAAAATTGTAAAAAGTCAACATCGTTCGAAGCTAAGATAAGAATAAGATTCCGAAGTAAATTCCTAGATTCAAAATTTATATTCCGAAGCATGTGATGGATCTTGTAATTTATAAATGAAAAATTAACAGAAAATCCTACACAAGAAGGCATTTCTTTTATAATGGTACGGAATTCCAGAATATCTCATACTTGGCTCAAGATATCAGCACATTAACCCTTCCCAAACTCATGTTCCTTTACATTTCCTAAGGGCTGAAATTATCATCGTGCAGGACGCAAAAGCTGCCTGGGCAGCCTTTTGTCCCCTTTGCTTACTCAACTTTATACATTGTATAAATGATGCTTTGGCTGCCAAAATGAGTAGAATGGTAGTAGTTTTCAAAATTTAGGCGAGGCCCAAAGTATCAGATCTTTGACATCCGAGAAATCTTGTCATTCACATAATTTGAAGGAGGTAAGACACAGTAATTATATCACTTTCTCAGCGGTGACATATAGTCCATATGTAAGTTAGCAGCATACCTCCTCAACATAAGCTAATAGAAGATGTTGAAGTAATACTGGTTGGGCACGCTGCAGATGAGTATAACCAGGTACAATAAGCCCTTCGTTTTCCAAAGACAAGTTCACCAGTGAGGTCTGGAGGTGCTTTATGCGTGTGATGATGCTATCAATGGCATCACGACACCAAAGGCGAAAGTCAGTCAAAACTTGATCATTTCGGCTCCGGGCTGTGTGTAGCTTCTTTGCAGGCTCCCCGATCATATCAGTAAGCGCCGCTTCAATGTTCATATGGACATCCTCGCGGTCAGTTCTCCAATTGAACTCTCCATTTTCAATGCGCCTCTCTATCTCATCAAGACCTTCAATAATCCGATCCCTATCACTGATGCTCATCAATCCCTGACCGCAATCACGTATCAATCAATGCAACATCATTTCAATTCCACTTTTTCTCGGCGCAGAAGAACTTTAAGAAATGGAAAGAATTTTGCATGTTAAAGAAGTTCGATCTTCATTTGAAGATCATTCTAATTCAGCGAAATCAGTGATCATACATTGTCATAAAGAATGCAATTCCCCCCGCCTTGAGGGGGAGGGGAAGATGATTAGAAAGTGAAGGCAATGCCAAAAGGAGCAATCTTATCATTCCCCATAAAGTGTCGCAGAAACGCAAAAGATTACCTGATGAGCTAGCATAGTCGCATGAGCCTTACTTCCCATGATATCATGTTTGTAGAGCTGCTTATCGTAGGAGATCGACTCGGAGAATCTCTCAACGGCATCGGTGACGCTGTCCTCGAAGCGGCCACCCCATAGCTTAGCTTCCTTCGGCTTGCTTAGTTCGACCTGAGGTGCATTCTCTGACGCACAGATACCCTTCATTCTAGAGCCAAATGGAAAGCAAGGTCGAATTCTGGAAACAGAGGAGCCGGAGAAGGAGGACGCCAGAGAAGTAAAAGCGAAGCTTGAAGACAGGGCAGTAGCGAACTCCATGACTGCTGTTCCAAGTTGAGCTGGAAAGGGTTTTAACTTTTAATGCGGTAAAGGTTTTGGGAGCGCAGGCTGCGTAACGCTGACTCTGAGCGCGCTGAGGCCATTCTGCTGCGGTAAGGGACAAAGAGGCCGCTGGTCGCCTGGAGTTAACTGCTAGGCCTACTAAATAATCAGGCCCAGTTGGCTCTGGAGGCCCAATAACAGAGGTACTTTTCTAATTTCGGCCTACTCATTTTATTTTTTATTTCTTAAAAATCCATTTTTTATTATTACCCTATATAGCGTCCAATCAGCCTAAATATGACATAAACATAGATAAAACATAAGGGAAGCCCCTTTCTATTTTTTCAAATCATTGTATTCAAAATTTTGGGAGCATAGTTTTTTTAACCAATAACTGCCTTATTTGGTTTCGTTTAAACCGCGGGGGACGTTATTGGAAAAGCATTAGAATAAACCGCCAGAACTGACTTAAATCACGCAGATTAGATTTGATAAATTCAATGTTGTAGAATATTAAAAATAAGTAGGAAAGAAATCATACCAAGTCACGCCCTAGAAGGGAGGAGGGAAACAGAAAAAGAGGGAGACACCTCCTATTTCTATTTATAGGGTAAGAGTGATTAGAGATTAGAAAGATATAATCTTCTCAATTTGTTATACAATCATCTCTTGATTGTCTTTTATTTCACAATTAGAAATTAATATCTAATTGACTTCTCTTTAATTCACAATTTTGTCCCTTAATTTTCTCACAAGAACTAATAGCGATTTGTTTTCCTCATTAACTAGGATTCATTTGATCAATAAATCAAGGTCAAAAAAGAATTTGATCAATAAATAGTCCGGCGCAACATTAAAGACAGACCTGGAACCAAAAAAGAAAAAAAAAGACAGACCTGGAACCAAAGTCCCACGAGAGTTTTTTGAAATAGTTTGATAAGATTCCTGGATTTGCAATTTCATTTTTTCCCCGGCAATTTCAAATTCGTTTTTGCTTTGACTGTTTTTTCGCCCTAAATCTGTCGTTGCATTTCTGAGTGCCTATGTTCAATGAACACGGGAATCACGTTTGGCCGTATAGAATGACTCAATTCAGTGCATCCTTATATTCTCTACTAGGTATCTGGGGAGGGCTAAGAGTTGGAATTGACCATTTTCTGACTTGAAATTTGTAAATCAGTTTTTGTTCCTTCAAAATATCATGAGGTAAAAATTTAAACAATTTCCAATATCCTTGAAATTGAACTAGCTGTGAACAGTCTTGGTTTTATTTGTTGAGGTACAGTATAAGGAGGTATCTCTGCCTTTAAACGAAACGGCTAAAAAGGGCCGACTCATTTGAATGCAATTTTTCTCTCGCAAGACGCACAATTAAAATGTGAGATTCTGAATGTCTGAGCTGTCAATAAAGTTTTTACTTCAATTAAATGTTTGGACATTTCTGTTTTGGTCTGTGTTTATTGGCAGAACTCTTCTCAATTATAGGCATCCCTGACCCTGTCTACATAATAATGAGAGAGGAGCCTACACGCCATTGGCTTCAAATGATTTCTATTCTAAAAATGGCTGTGACTTTCACTGATCTCTCATGGAGGTTATGGAGCGGAAAGCGTCATCGAGAGCCAAAAATCTCAGAAGAGGCTTCTGTTGATTCTAAAGCTGATTCTAGTACGGAGGAATCTGAAACTCTAGAGTTTCCTTTGGTAAAGAATTCGAGTTCCTGGTCAGGGAGAATGAAGCCCAAATGGCACAATAGCTGGGAAGAACCAAAAACAGACAGGGAATGCGATGTTGTTCTTGTGCCATCTGATGGAGAGTGTGGTCCTGGTTCTGAATCTGACGATTCTGATTGGTCAATTGGATGGTTGGAGCCTCATGGACCTGGGCTGCCAAATATGGATGAAACAGACAACAGTTTTGCTGTGCTGGTTCCATGTTACGGACGAGGTCATGGTTGCACGGTGAAGGATAAAATAGCAACACACTGAGCAATATTGGGGACTTTCTAGATGGTTATTCAGACGGTAAGAGCGCTTCCTTCAATATCCCCCAGATTACCCTTATGCTAATCCTCTGTTTTCTCTTGTGCTCATGAAATTTGAATGCATATTATTGCTTTCAGCATATGATGATGATAGTGGTTAGTTGGTGATTTTCAGTCTTTTAATGTTCGTGTCGATTTTCTTCGATTCTGTCGCTTTTGTGAACTACTATTTGAAATCAACAAATCAAAGCACAACAAAGAAAATGGTGGGCTCTGATCAAATTCGCAATAAAAGATTACCTTCGGCTCTAGTCGTCTTCCTAATGTGGTCTTGTACAGTTTTTGAAGGTTTGATTACTTCGTTACTAAGCGGATGCATACTGATTAAAACTTCCATTTCATATGAACTCTCAGTTTTCTGCTTTGGAGGATGGTAGGACTTGTGTGTGGTGCTCATTGGTCATCTAGTATTCTTTTGAGCCTTGTATAACACGAGCATGTTTATTACATCGGCGATTATTTGATCTTTTCGGATTTGTTTTGTTGCTTCATAGAAGTATTGTCATGCTTACCTGTTTTCTCTGCAGAGAGCATGAAATCCATCGACAAATGGCTTTCTTCTCTTGGAAATAGATGATGTACAAGCACTTGTGACTCTGATTCTGCAAATCTGCATCAGAAAGTGTCGCTTCGTTACGTTGAAGAAGTCTTAACTCGTGATCCTGACTAGCAAAATGTGGTATATAATGCAAATATGAAAAACAAAAATGTCAAATTTTGATGTGGGATGAGAGTACGATCCATAAATATGGTGATGAAATAGAATCTTTCGGTGATGATGTGAAGCCGCCACACTACCCCCTGCCTTCAACAAGCACATTGGTGGGGCTTAAGAGGTTACACTTCTCCCAAAGGAACAGAGTCGAGATGTTGGATGAGAATAAGGCGAAAAATCGAGTCCCTGTATCTGTGAGAGAGATCCCGAAGCTCTTAATTATTCTATGTAAATATGTGTGGATTGGTTGTATGCCCAACCCCAAGATCAATGCGAGTTTTTTTTTTTTTGGGGGGGGATCTACGTATGATAATGTATGTATTTTACTATTTGTCCCAAATATATATATTTATATATATAAACATACTTTCATTCTCTTCCATATGCCTGTTGAATATAGGAGTGTATTTTTAACTTCAATATCAACCAGAAGCAGCATAATTTCTTTTGTACCTTTCCCATTTACGTGCCCACGAAATATGATTCAATCTCTAATAATAACGAAAGCATCTGCCCACATAAATGATATCGGCCCGAACTGCACAAATACCCATGCCAATTCTAGATTTTTAACTAGTTTTATAGGCTGTTGTTTTTTGCTTGTTAGTTAGTGGCTTTGTCCAGTGAATTTTTTAGTTGTTTTCTTTTTCAGTCTTTTAGTTCTTCCAGGGGTGAGGTGTGAGTAAGTTTGTATTGATAGGTTTTTTTGAGCGTTTCTTTGGCCTCCTGGCTATTAGTGATTGTAATGATCTTTTTGATATTAATAAAAATAACTTTTTTTGGGCAAACAAAAAACTATTTTTATACTGCATTTATTTAAATATTTTTACCTTTCTCCAAACTGTATTTAAAAATAGAATTTCATAATATTATTTGAAAATTAATAAAATAAATGAAACAAAATGAAGAAACAAAGACGAAAGCTAATTATTTTTTCCGGTCAAAGAAAGCTAATTTGATTTCTCCTACTTTGGCAAGTAATTTCGACATTATTTTTAACGAGAATATATTTCTTTTTTTTTTTTTTTGGGATCGATTTTCTGTGAGAAGATTACTAATGTAACAACCACACCACAAGTCAGTTTATTTTAACTAAGAAAAGTGATTTTCCGTTTTCTTGATAATCTAAAATATAGAATTATTGTTGATGACTTCCAATCAAAATGGTAACGTCTTCCATCTTGCCCGAAATAATATTCTATGAACTATGAAGCCTTGAAATTGCATAAAAAATGAGTAATACTTTTAAAATTAAACGTCGAATTGCATAAATTACCAAACTTGTTTGGAAAAAACAAACAAGAGGAGAGAAGGTTAAGATACGAACCAATAAATCAATATGTGGCGCGTCCTCCCTTCTCCGTAAACCAAAAGTTGAGCTCTTCAAAGGGTCCAACACCTTACATCTGTGCCGGTGGTTGTAGCGAAGTATCCTCCTCTCCATCATCTGCCTCATAAGAATACATTCTCAGTAACCATCGTTTCTCTTTTCGTCAGTTTTTTCCTTAACCACCATGATCAAAAAAATCGTAGCGTTTCACTGATCTCAACCATTATTTTGTGCCATAATTTGCTCATCTCTATATAATCACAGTTGATCTTATTCGTCGTCTGCGTTAATGGGTTGCATGTGTTTGATTCTAATAATTTAGAGAGATTAAGATGTTGCAAAGGGCAGCGACCAATGCTTATTCATGGTGGTGGGCAAGCCATGTCAGGACAAAGCAGTCAAAATGGCTGGAATACAGTCTCCAAGGTACGCCTATTTGAGCATGATCTATTTTCTGATTTATGATTTCCCTGATCACATGGAAATCACGGAGATTTTTATCAAAGAGCTTTCTGATGCAAATCTACGTACATGAAAATAGCATGCATTCTAATCAGAATTAGCCACACATTTTGGTTGAATGAGTAAAATATATAATGTGGAGTAAATTGACAATCCTAGAGATTCGAAACAGAAAATATTCTAGGAAAACCTTAATGAGTTACCATGGTCCGAGAATCATTTAATTAGCGTACAAAGAATGATAAAACAGATAATGCTGTGGTTTTATCATTCATTCAGTTGTGAACAGAAAGTTTATTGTTCATAATACTGCAAATACCATTAACAACAGAAATGGAGGAGAAGGTGGTGGAGACCCTCAAAATCCTTGATGATGAAGGGGACTCATTTGCCAAGAGGGCAGAAATGTACTACAGGAAGAGACCGGAGCTCATAAGCTTCGTTGAAGAATCCTTCCGGGCGTATAAATCATTAGCCGAGAAGTATGATCATCTATCAAGAGAGCTCCAAAGTGCCAACCGCACCATTGCGTCTTGCTTCCCAGAACGAGTTCAGTATCCCTTGGATGAAGATGAAGATGAAGATGAAGGCAAAGGAACATCAACAATTAATGACCATGACAGCCCAGCAACGCCTAAATCGAGCATTCCTAAAGTTCCCAAGACTCCCAAGGGAGATTTTAGAAGCCAATCTATGTTAATCTCACGGAAGAGACCACTGAAGAGGATTTCCAGCTCTGCAAAACCTGTTACCACTACTCCAATTTCAGGGCTGAGCAAGGCTGCGGCACTTGCAGAAATTGACAAGCTTCAGAAGGAAATTCTGGCACTGCAAACTGAGAAAGAGTTTGTGAGGAGCTTGTATGAACGGTCCTATGAAAAGCACTGGGAGATTGAAGACCAGATCGAGGCAATGCAAAAAAGAGTTTGTTGTTTGCAGGATGTGTATGGGGTTGGCACAGTCATTGAAGATAATGATGCAAGAACTTTAATGGCAGCCACGGCTCTGAGATCCTGCCAGGAGACATTGGCAAAGTTGCAGGAGATACAAGCAAAATCGTCCGAAGAAGCTAAAGTAGAATATGAGAGGGTTAGGCAAGCTCATGAGAAGTTCGAAGCACTCAGAGATCAATTTATTTATACGCACATGAGTCTCACAGACCCAGACCCAGATGTTGGAGACAAATCCGAGACAGAAGGAGAAGAGCAGATGAACAAAGAAGAGAAAGCTAGTTTAGAACAAGAGGCACAAGAAGTGAATCGATTGAGAGAGAAGATTAAGGAACAACTTGTGGGAGATTCTAGTAAGTCTCTCTCTGTGGCAGAAATGGCAGAGAGAATTGATGAACTCGTGGATAAAGTTGTCTCCCTGGAAACTGCAGTTTCCTCTCAGACTGGCTTGGTAAAGAGACTGAGATCAGAAACAGATGATCTTCAGACAAATATAAAGAGCTTGGAAGACGACAATGAAATGCTGAAAGAAGGTTCAGACCAAATGAACAAGAAGCTGAAAGAATTGGAGGAGGAGTTAAGGAGAGTCAAAAATCTCAACCAAAATGTTAAAAACCGAAACAATAGCCTCCAAACACACTTCACCGAAGCTAGTTGTAATCTTGAACATCTTTCTGAAAGATTGCATGAGGTCAAGTTAGATGAGAAGACAGAAAACTCAGAACTTTACAAGAAGATGAACTCTGCTGATGTCAAAATAACAGATGAGGAGAAGCAAGAAGAAGCTGCAAATCCAAGTGAGGATGTCAAAAATGAAGATAACAAATCCAGTTTGAGCGAAAATATGAATTTTCTTTCTGAGAGGATTAAAAAACTCAGACGTCAGGAGAATGATGACTTATCTGAGACAGTAAGTAACCAAGACATGGAATCACAGGATTATCGGGGTGGTGATGAGGATGAACCGAACTGGAGACAGATGTTTATCAGCGGGTTGGATGATAGAGAAAAGATTCTGTTGGAGGAGTACACATCAACTTTAAGGAACTACAAGGATGTAAGGATGAAGCTCGATGATGTCGAGAAAAAAAACCGAGACGGGATTTTTGAGTTGGCACTTCAGGTAAGGGAACTGAGGAGTGCTCTAGCCACTAAGGATAAAGAGATTAACCTTTTACAACAGAAGCTAGTCTGTCCAGAAACAAATTCATGTGGAAGTCCATATACAGCTGCCACGGAATATAAATATACACCACTAGAAGTTCCAAGCGACTCTGAAATTTCATCATCAAATTTGGATGCAAATCCAGGAAGAACATCTTTTGCCGACCTGATCGAGAGCGGACGAGATATTCGTAGATCATCTGAAAACATAAAATATTCTTTCAAAATTGAGGACGCAGAAAAGTTCCGGGCAAATCTGGTTTCTAAACGCCATCCTCTTACAAATCTGGAAAAGAAATTCCGCTCAGACATTGACGATCTACTTGAGGAGAATTTGGAGTTCTGGTTGAGGTTTAGCACCTCAGTCCATCAGATTCAGAAGTTCCAGAACTCCATACAGGACCTACAGGCAGAGCTAGAGAAAGTCAAGGATCACAACAACAGGAATTCAAATTCTAAGCAGCCATCCTTGCAATCTGAAATCCGGCCAATTTTCAGACACTTGAGAGAGATCAGAACTGAATTATCACTTTGGCTTGAAAATAACTCAGCATTGCAGGACGAATTGCACGGTAGATATTCATCCTTATGCAACATTCAAGAAGAAATATCAAGAGCCGCCATTGCAGATTCAGAGTTGAGCGGATATCAGGCAGCAAAGTTTCAGGGTGAGGTTCTCCATATGAAACAGGAGAATAATAAGGTTGCTAGTGAACTGCAAGCAGGTCTGAGTCTTGTGAAGAGGCTGAAAGTTGAAGTCGATAAGACGCTGGAAGAAACGGATCAAGCATTTGAAGTTAGCACTGACCCCCCGATCAAGCAATCATCGTCAAGTCGGAATCGAATACCATTAAGGTCATTTTTGTTCGGAACCAAGTTAAAGAAGCAGAGGCAGTCGATTTTCGCGTGTGTGAATCCAGATTTTAGCAATCTCGAAGCAACTAATGAAAATGCCCCCGTATAAACCAGCTTCCACCTTCTTCTCCTACAGCACCCTACTCGGCGTAGATTTTCGTCCTCCAGTCTGATTGTGATCAACCCAAGAACGTGAAAGTTACTGATGTGTTTCATATAAGCGTTGCACTCTTCTTAACATTGAACAAAACCATTAACTTCAAGCCAAAACATTCCCTTGGACTGCGAGTGTGGCTGCATACATAAATATATATATATATATATATATATATGTATATAGACACACACATCAAAGTGAAGGTATTCATCCCTTAATATACACACGTGCGCATATGAGCTTCCATTTATAAGTCACTTATAAAAAAAAAAAATTATTCTTAAACATAAGTTGCTTGTAGTAATTAATGAATTTTTTTTCCACTTTTGTCTTTGGTGATTTAATAAATACAGAAAGAGATAAAGTAAATAGGTAAAACAAAACAAAACATATTTCTAATAAATTTTTAAAAAGGACAAATATAGAAAAAATTGTTACTATTGATTTAATAGAAGGCATAAGTGATCTATAAATAGAAATAGAGTGGCGTCTACAGCCACCAAAAAATTACACATTTTACGTGCCATGAATGCTACAGTCTTTTATTGAGCCATGCGCTATGCCGCCATGCTTTTTACACAAGACTACAACTTAAACAGTCACAAGGCAGAGTCATGAAGAATCGGCTATTAATTCCATCTCTGAATCGAAGTATTAATTTAAGAGGGATTGACCCCGTCGAAGGGAATGTCAGAATAAAACATCGACAAATAGCACTTACAAAGATACAACAGGTATGTATGTTTTACAAAATCCAACAATTGCAGCAGAACTACAATTACAATTTCTGTTTCGCCAAAACTACTATCTGCAAAGGCTAGTAACCAAACCTCCCAATTTTTAAATAGCTCTGAAATTCCAGGTTTTTTTTTTTTTGCATTCATTCTGCACCACAGCTTGGCCCAATATTCCAGTTTATCTCAAGCCTTCATCTTCAAAACTTAACTTACTGACAGTTAAAACCATGGTCAGGTCAAGACTGCTATCAATAGGTCTGTGACGATCCCTCAGCAGTCCGGTCATGAAATTTATTCTCAAACTACTCTCTGATCATCAGCCTGTCCTGGATTTTGTGAAACCGGTTTATTTTCTAAAACTTCCTCATTAGGTATACTTTCTGAGACTGGTGTCCCATCAACTTGGTCCCTCTCTTTTGGGTCAACACATGAATCAGAGGCTTTTGATTCTTGGTTAGGATTAGCTTGCTCTAATGGAACATCATTGACAACAGAGCGAAGAGTATCAGCATTAGAAGTGCTCTCACCCGGTGAGGAGACAGATTTAACAGCAGTAGTGCACGAAGGAGGTACGGTGGCAACAACCTTAGGAGAAACAGCTGGATTTGTAAGAGCTTTTGGCTGGACGACAGAACCAGCAGATGCGGACAGCTTCATTGAAGAATTGCCAGTTGGCAAAACTTGTCCACCGCTCCTGTCCTGAGTAGTCTTTTGCACTGACAAAATATCCGCTGAAGAGACAATACGTGCACCAACTGCAACTGCAGTAGCTCTTACAGCAGCATCAGCACTTGTATTAGCCTTCAGTGTTGCTCTTTCAGGGACTAAAGAATTTGCTGGGGAAGCAGAAGAACCCAATACAGCTTGTTGAGATGGAAGCTGATGTGGTACAGAGCTGCTCTGAATTGTTGAAGCTTCAGCAGTATTAACAGGTTGCGCAGAGTTCTTAATTGATGTGTTTAGTGACGTTCTAGCTGCAACCGGTTCAAATACAGGTAGCCCTTGTCAATAATTTCATTGACCATGACATCACAACGTTCAATGTGAAATAAATAATAACTGCAGTTCTTGGTAATTCACGAGACAATACTCTTCACATCTTGTTAATTTTTATATACATTAGAGAAATAGATAGAAAGTCATATTATCACTGCTATATGCCACAAGAATATGATTGCCGCCAATTATTTCACACAATTACAATATCAACATTACAAAAACGAGAATGGAAAATAAGTAAAATCAGTCATATTTAAAACAGAAGAAATCTGTTTCACCCAAAAAAAAAACACAAGAAATCTACAGGCATCGAGCAGGCATCTCAATGAGAAGGAAAAAAGAAAATTAGAAAATCAAAGGACAGAAATAAAGTCATAGAGACACATCAGTATCTCAGAGCAGGTGACATTGTTTGGTGACATCTGAACACGTTTGGTACAAAATGCCGCAAAACCAGGTGAAATTTTTAGGCGCAAAATCATAAAAGGAATAAAGTCTGTGGTACGTGGTCTTTTGCTCTTAGTTTGTGCAGAGAATGTCTTTATAGATATGGAAATAGTATAGGCAGCTTTGTTACATGTTTAACGCTATGTAACTTTCTTTGTTTCCTTTCATTTTTTTCAGTTGTTTACTCGGACAGCTCCTCATCCTCTCCACCATCGTTCTACATTCAACAGTAGGTTTTTAATTTCAAATAAACCTGGGCTAAAATAGTGACAGTTGAAATATGCTACTCTTTTTAGTTCACTGCCCGGGAGAAATCATCGCAACTTTTAACCACGTTGGAGTATAACATTTAACATAAATTTTCCTCTTTTTAATAATAAATTTTAACAAAATCCCAACCTGACCATAGTATTCTTCTGATACACTCTTGGTTTGTTTCATGTTCTTCTGAAAAAAAAAATTACCTCTAAAAATTATCAAAGGTCATGACCACAATAGCATCTCACTTAGTCTTTAGCATTCAAAAAAGCCAAAAGCAAATTAAACCCACGATGAATCAAACACAATTTATCAGTCCACTTGAAATATCAGGATAACAAGAAAGATAGGTCAGTGACTTGTTAAGCGGCCTATGCAAGCTTAATGATGAAGCATATGATAGTGATACTGGGTCCAAGGTTCAATTCTCAACAGCAGGACCGATTTTAAAGGTTATGAGGATAAAAAATCTATAAAATCCAGGGGATGATTAGAGGAATGAAGACAAGAGAGAACTGAAGAACAGACAATTCGTAAGTTCTGGAATTTCATTAAGCTTTTAGAAACTATAAGTTTATAAAGTAGAAAAGACAATCACCAGGGTCAGTCGTTCCAGGAACAGTTAATTTTTTTAATGGCATATCAAGGGCTAAAGATAATGAGTGACGAGTTGCCAGCTGTTCAGCAGTAAACTGTGAGCTGGTCAAGTTTGTTCCTGAATTCGTAGTGCCATCTTTCTTCCGTAAAATGCTCCACCTCTGCAATTATTTGGATATGCCATGACAATTTGTAGAATAAAAAGGAAATATCAACAACAACAAAATTACAACAATAAATCAATTAAAGTCAAGTTTCATGGGCAAAAGCAGCTGTCTAACCCCATTGTTACAGCAGGGACAGCAGCAGCAATTATTAACCTCTAAAAACTAATCGGATATTCTATTTTTTGTTCACTCAAACTCATCACACAAGACATAACCATATTAGCCTAGAGTTACATGGACCTAGGTGGTAAAAGCTGAAGAGCTCAAGTTAGAAAAAGCCTCGAAGAACAGACACTATGCTGAGCGAGAAGCTAAAATTAGGCGAGGGATGAATTCCAGCATAACATCCATATTAAATTCAAGACGAGGCATTATTATATTAACTATTTAATTCTTAACAAAAATTATGAACAGTACTGAAATTTTTGTTATAAACAATATATCAGGTAGAATTATTTCTTTTAGTTGCCAACGCTAATAATTTTCATGTTCAATGAAAGTCATTCCTCCAAAAATTTTATTTACTAAAATGAAATTGAAATACATGAGGAGGATGAGATCTCTTAAGATACGGTACTAAAATCAAAACAGAAAGAAATGATAAAAAATTTAGTCATGCAGCAAAGTGCCCAATCACTCTACACATAATACAATTGCTCCTTAAAATGCTGAGAACTGAAGATCAAAGAGAGGCCGCAAAAATTCTATCCAAGGCATCTTAAGACAGAGACAACTCTAAAGAGACGAGCAATTCCTTTCCAAATCACAGCAAAAACTGCACATTGCCTCAATTTTTTTCCTTCCTTCTGTCCAAATCTTTTACATTCTGTTTAAATACCCATTAATAGAAATTAACAAGATTATAAATTATAAGTTATGAATTAAACATGAACATTTGAATTGAATTTATATAGTTGAAATGTAAAATATGCTAAATCAGCTTGGATTAAATCATTCACTGTTATTTGCTTTCTATGCTACTAACCCCATGACTCATTCAGAAATGTAATTTCCCATGTTTGTTTTATGGCAACTAAAAGCATCACATAAGACTTAAACATATGATCCATAAGTTAGATGGACCTCATCAATCTTGATCACAGGCAAAATCCTCTAAAATAAGGCGCTCTACCTACAAGGAGACGATGACAACAACAACAACAACAAAATTTTATCCCATTAGGTAGAGTCGACTAACCACATGAAAAAAGGGCTTGGTCTTAAGGGATTGGGGAGAGAAGAAAAAAACATAAAAACAGAGAATAACTGCTAACTATTGTAACATGCAATATTATCACAGAAGTCTAGCATGTATTCATCTTAGCAAAGTTCAAGATAGAGTATAGCATCAAGACAAAGTAGCAAATTGGGAAACCAAAAAATTTAAAAATCTATGCATGCAAAAAAAAAGGGACTAACTAAAATAAGAAACATGCTTTTCATTTATTCTTTTTCCTAACAACTTCTATGACCTAATGTTTGTTCTCACTTTTCGGGTCTGCTTACTGTTTCAATAGAAACTCAAGAGCATGCACACGTGAAATATATTTGCTTCAAAGATCCTATATGTTAAATCAACAGATTTCACCTATTCATGGTCCAATGCCCCTACCTCCCTCCCCCACTCTTCAAACTGTGTGAAGCAGGATCTTCTTCGTTCAGAACTTATAAATATCCATTTGGGAGGTTTACATGGGGACAAAAAACAAGAGAAGTAATTCTCGAAGGAGTAGGATGGGAAAAGAAAAGGGTTGGGACTAAACTGTTTTTGCTCGAATGCCTACTGAGGCCGCACTGGCAACAAGAGCACAATGTTACTGCTTAAATGTCATCAATATCATCCTTGTGAGGCCTGACAAAGAAAGACTCTGTACACCAAAAGAAGTGCAAAATGTGTGAATGAGGAAAAAATGTTGTGGCAATGTTCGGTTTGAAAAACACTAACTCATTAATTCAGAGGCTGCACTAAATCTAATTTTCTTGATAGGACAGCACAAAAAATATTTTTCTTTGAGAAATTGAGCTGTCTAAAATATCAGAATCCAACATGCTCTAACTGGACAAAAGGCCTAATTAAATGCCCTATCGTACGCTAAATATCTACAGAAAGAGCAAGATGGAAAACTACAAGACAACATTGTTCAGCACTACAAAGAAATTTCCACAGTATGGCTCTCAATTGTAGAGTCCCATGAGACAGATCAGGAAAAAAAAAAAAATCACATGCCCCCTGACAAGAAGTCTTGGTGTACTAATAACTATCTCAGTAAGCCTAACAATGAGTATCTCAAGAGCTTGATCAGTAAAGCATTCCGTATGGGCTAAATAAAGCCCAAAAAAACACCAGAATACACTGTTTTGGGGGGGTTATAAGTGTTACAATTTTAAAGATAAAGGAAAACATAATTTTGAATAACTTGTACCTATTGTGTTCTCTTCTCTCTCTCACAATATACATTAGCATCCATAATGGACAAAAAGAACCACAAGCATTTACTCATAACTATTAATCCCTAGTGCCATTGGCAAACATGACGTAATGAGGGACAGATGATAAAATAATAGAGAATGGCCATATAATTCACAAACTTTTAGGATAATAAAACCCACCTGAGCCAGCTGTGTAGGACTTCTTTTGATAGGGAAGTCATCTCCTTTCGACATGGTTGCCCAATTTCCCTCACCACATTTTTGAACAGCTGCTCGTAGTTGCTTGTCCTCCTCTTCTGACCATGCCTTTCTTCTCCTTTTGGAAGACAATTTGACAGCGGCTGTTCCCTTGGCTTCTACACCTTCAGTCACAGATCCAGATGGTAGTGTCTGTCTCTGAACAGTAACAGGAAAAATAACACTTGTTCCTTGCATCAAGTTTGAGGGCTGTATATTTTCTTCAGGATTTGTAGATGAATGACAATTTGGAATATTTATAGTCATTGGAGCCTCAATTGTTGAGCTACTAGGACCCGTTTCATTAAGCAAACGAGAAGCTATCATAACCTAATCAATAAACAATTCCACGTCACAAAATGATTGCAATTGGAGAAGAAAAACTATCACAGTCATCGTCATCCTAATATGTTCAAACAAAACCCCAGAAAATGGATTATATCTATGGAGAACCAGCACATCCACAAAATTGTAACAATTACAAAGAATAAAAAGGCTGAAAGTAATTTGCAAAAGCAAATTATTGGATTTCGACAGAGTCAGGAAGACATGAACATATAGAAATAGTTCCAGGGCCATTATTTTATTTGTATCCTAAGCCTAATCATCTGACAATAAGGTAACCAAAAAATAAATGCAAACAAGAGGCTCAGAGGCATAGAGAAGAATGGCAATTGGGGCAATTATAATCCACCTTCATACAAGCTGGCCTATTATTGTATTGTATGCTAAGCCTAATCATCTAGCAATGAAGCAAGCAAAAAGTAATTGCAAACAAAGGCTAAGGTATAAAGAGAAAAATGGCAACTGGGGAAATTATTATCCACCTTCACACAAGCTGAAGCCTCTGATGCAGCCTCGTTGTTAATAGGGGGTATCACCTCCATCTCACAGTCCAAGTCACTATCATCATCCTGCAAGTAAATTTTCACGTGAATGAGGTGGGGAATTCAAGCATTGATCAAAGAATCATAAGACCAAAAAAAGGAGGAAAAAGAGGATGGGCAGGCAGACAAACAAACATCAAGGATCGATACAACAACAAGAAGAAACCATATTTCACAAGGTGCAATTGGCTACATGAATCATAGACATCATTGTGCCCGATCAAGGTAAAGCAGCATTTTTTTCACGACAAACATGTTTTCACGACTATTTCATTCAAAAATTTTATAAAGCCGGCAAAGAAAAAGGAATGCTCTAAGATTGTGGGGGAAAACAGAAGGATTGTTCAAAGTAAGTACCACAAATATTTACAACCTGGCAAAACACTCAATCTCAAAAGCCAAAGAACATAATCGAGAGCAAAATGATTGCTAATATGAATATACAAGGCATGAAAACACATACATATAACCTTAAAAGTTGTTTGACAACTAAAAGTCAACATATTGCCACCGTAGTGATGATGGATCCAACAGCAGCGAACCCGAGAGAGAGAGAGAGAGAGAGAGACTAGTAAGAGGGGAAAGGGCTAAAAACCAACCATATCTATATGACAAAGAATACAAAAAGGACTGTGTATTTCACGTATCCTGCACCCCAGTGATCCTAAAATAAGAGCAGAAGTTCACGCCCAACAACTGATAAACAGCATTAAAACTTCCTCCCACACGTTTTTTAAGCAACGGAGTTCAAATCCTGAACTCTGAATAGCAAGTGCTTTCCTTAAATATCAGCAAGCCAGCGACGGTCAACAGACAAGCAAAAACAGAAATATTTAAAATGCGGATAATGCCATGCAAACCAGAGGTTCAGCCCCGTCTTCCAAATTTTCAGTCAATTCATTGCGATAGGCCAGATGCCGCCATAACATCTGATACTCTCGAGCATTTGATATACCAGTTGCGGTATTTTTTACCAACTCATCCCAATCAATCTTGCCCTCAGGATAATTTGAATTCGACACTTCCTGGAGAAAAGTTAGAACGGTAGTTGCATCATACCTGAATTTCACCAAAATCAAATTATATTGACATAAACACAGTAGTAGCCCGCAAAACAAACAAAAGTTATGGAGAAGAAAATAAATACTTCTCTAAGAGAGCAGCAGCGTCTTCCTCGCTGAAAGCGACCTTCTTGATCGTGTTATCATCTTCCACCATTGGTAAGCCCTCGCTGAAGCCGAAGGAAGAATGAAACAAGCAACGAGCGCTGGCCCTCACCCAAATTTTCGAGTGTAGAAAACACCCTGAACCCTAAAGACTAAGTATAAAAGAAGGAAGCAAAAAACCTACACTGAATAACAAAGATGCTCATTTGGGTTCGCAGAAAAAATCGGAAGACAGGCTAAGCAGGGGCAGTGAGGAGCACACTGACCGTTGAAATCTTGAAATCGACTGTAACCCGCGCCTTTTCTGGGATTTACATTTATAGTAGTAAAACAGAAATTGAGGCGGCGGACGGTTCAGGGAAAAGCGGATTCTTCATGCTCGTCGTTTTTTTTTTTTTTGGGGTGCCCCCGCGCTCGTCTTAGCATGGAACCTAAGGAACGATTAAAATTAAATTTAAAAATAAAACGGTTTTTTTTTTCTTTTTGTAGAAGCAGCAATATTATCACTTGAGATTTTTTCTCGCCATATTCCGTATTTTTCTTCAAAAATCTCTCCAACAAACATAAAATCTGAATTTAAAATTAATTTGATTTGATTTGTGCGGCCCAGACGAAGACAATATTTATATATTTTTATAGTCTATCTATATATAGAGTATGGAGTAGTATATTCCTAAAGGGCGTATTATTAATTAATAAATAATAAATAGTCCACTCTTTAGAAACCCTACTTTATATTAATTCCACATGTGTGGTAAAAATTTAACCACCAAACAAAATAAAGAATTGAGCAACCAGGAATCAGGATTAAAACTTAATACAAATGTTGAGAGATTAAAACAAATGTGTATTTACTTTTCTAAACTATTTTGTTAATCATGTGTAATTATTTTTTGGTAGGAACATCTTATAATCAATAAAGATATTTTTAAAAAATATTATGAATTTAAAAAATAATATGAATGAAGATTTTATATTTAAAACCAAATCTAGTTTTCATCTAGCTTTTATATTGATGACAAAAGATAATATGTATGTATATATAATTAAGAAGTCAATCTCATATTAAATTGATTGATTGAGCAATGAGTAGCAATCACCACATAGCTGTGGCAAGAATCAAGGAGAGTGGATGCAAAATTTGTTTGGCTATAAGTTTTTTTCATGCCAGATAATACTTATTCTAAGCAAATCAAATAAATTAATTGATTATGACAAAAATACATAATCTCTCTAATACACCCTAGATTAGAATGCATTCTCCCCTATTTATTTAATTAAGTTGAGTAAGTCAAGAAAGTTAAATAAATTACTTAATTGTGACAAACTGTTTTTATTTTTCTAAACTACCCATATACAACATTAGTAATTTAAAATTTAGATAAATTAGCTTAAAAAATATTAAATATGAGTAATAAACTAAATTAAAGTCTTATATCGAAAATCAAATCCAGTTACCTAATTAGCCATAACTTTTAGAATTGAGGAGTATATCAACTTAGGTAAATTAATTTGGAAAAAAAATGATAAATATAGAAGAAAAAGGCGAATTCTCTGAGAAAATTAAGAAATTCCGATTTAGCCTGCATTAAACATCCATGTTAGTCCCACTTTTATGCTTATTAATCATTATCCCGATCCGCAACCGTAAGCACAGGAAGAAGCATGAGTGCAGTAATACCGTTGGCAGAAGGCTTCGGGTTTTGATTATGTCAGAGAAACTTTTAATTGCTAATCAAGCAAAATAATGAAAAAAGTATGAACTGATATAAGGGGCAGAATTAAACTTCATCAGGCCAATTCACATCGATGTACTTGGAAATGATTCCCATATGCATTCGCCATTAAACATTGGGCGCCCCACCCTCTTTTTCATTAAGTATTGGGCGCAACCACTTCATACTATAAGCCTAGCTTACGACCAGGACAATATCCCAGCTATGAGTCTGTAGGTTTCTGGTGACTGGTGAGGTATAACAAACTCCGCAGCTTAAAAAAAAAAAAAAAAAAATGTGTTGTAGACGATCATAGACCATTTAGAAAGAACTTAAGCCAACATGAACTTTCCCACTAGTCGGTTTGAGAGCAAGATCGCCGAGCAAGCACAAAGCTTATATCCCAAGGTACGAAGCACACTGGAAAAAATGGGCGGAGTCTAGTACAAGACCAGTATCAGCAGCCAATTTATAATTATCGCCAATAGCTATGTTTAATAGTACAAGACCTTTGAAATAGCCCACTGCAAAGCTGGATGAGTTTTTCCCTCCCTACAATCCCTTGAAAAAAATCTAGGTTGAGAAGAAAAACCTAAACTATCGTTACAAGAGATTATTCAAGTCAAAAAAGAAAACGAACGGACAAATATCCAGAAAATCGATTCATTTTGGCGGGAAATCTATTTCAGGCTCCATCATTAGCATCCTCATACTCGACAAATGCAGAGATTGCTCAGAATGCAGTTCAGCCGATCTTGGGCTTAACATAGGGAAAAGCAACGGTATGACAACAAAACTTACCTTGTGAGCAAGCAGAAAAATCACCAGACATCTCTGAGGTATCGTCCATCCATCTGGAGTTTTTTCACTATAGCCTCAGCTTTTGATGAATCCACATTTTCCTGAAATTCAAAACAGAAACATGGTTTCAAAGTGTCCCCGAGTATGAAGTAAATAAGGCTTTGCAACCAAAAATGAACAAGCTAAAGCAGGCCACTCAGAAAGCATATTTGTAATAGTTTGATGCCTTAGTGCAAAGCATATATATTGGAGACAGGAAGCAACTACCAAAAGTTTCCCCAACTTCCATTTCTAATACTAGAAAGACAGTAAAAGGCTGCTCTTTATTGAAAATTCATACAAGTACATTGCACATTGTGGAGTTCCACATGGCTTGGCATCACTAACACAGTATTCCACATGGCCACACACAAATCATGGAAGATGATTTAATTTATATCAATATTCAATATATGTGCCATTGGTCTTTTAGCTTAGTGGTATGAAAACTCCCCTATAGGTGAAAAGTTGAGTTGGATCTTGCCTATAACTTCAGGCGGTTGGTATATGCCCTCATATTTTTTTCAAAAAAAAAATCAATATATATATAACCAAATTATATATAATTCAATACACAAAGTTTACACCAGGCAGTTCTATTCACTAATTATAATCAATGTGACTCGATCTTCAAACTCTGTAATGCATAGGAAAATATGTTTAATTAATATGCAATTTCAGAAAGCGTTTCAGCATAAAAAATTTCCTTGGTTAGGGTAAGCAATAACACAGCCAAACTGGTGGGTTTGTTTGGTGGAGTTTGTTATATGAAAATTAATGCCCCATACAAGGAATAAGAAACGCCAACACATCTGTTTCTCCATATTCACTACTCCAAGTGTTAGTGCTGGGAGGGGAGGGATGGGGTGATGAAAGACGACCCGCACCTGCTGCTGAACAATGGTATGAAGAGTCCGATGAACATCTCTAGCCATGCCCTTAGCATCACCACAGACATAAAGATAGCCGCCCTGAGACATCAGCCTCCACAAATATTCTGACTGCAAACAGAAATTGAAGCAAAAATTATCTCACCGAGAAATTTCCTCTTGCTAAACTGCTACTTACACTTACCTTATCCATCATTTTGTGTTGAACGTATTCCTTTTCTGGCCCCTCCCTGGAGAATGCAACAATCAACTCTGATAGAGCTCCTTGTTCCACAAAATTCATGAGCTCATCTTCATAAATAAAATCCTATAGACCAAACCAAGATTTATTTATTAAAGATGATTGCACATCTATCAGAAAATCCACAAAGAACGAAAGGGCACCAAGCAAATATCTTTACCATACGGCGATTCCTACATCCAAAGAAGAGTAATGCAGGGCCAAGTTGAACGCCATCCTCTTTGAGGGCCAGTCTTTCCTGGATGAATCAAAGATAAAAATTTAAATTATGCAAATGTAAAAGTTAATAATAATTATTTTTGAGGATCCATTTGTACTATGATTCAAGAATTAGAGCTTAACTAACAATTTGGGATTCAAGGATTTATTTAATACAAACCTAGGTTGATGATGTTACTCCAATTCCAACAAATTAAGGTTCAATTTCCATCAAATTAACTTCAAAATGAAACTTTGGTTATAATCAAATCAAATTTTGGTATTTTCATTTCAGTTCTTCATATGTGCTTTCTTATTATCATAATTTCCATTTGGTTCCATCCTCCAATCCTCATCTATGAATTTCTTCTTTTTATTCCATCTTGTTCAGTATCTATCAGATTCACAGTAAATTCACAAACCTGTAAAAATCCTCTGAAAGGAGCCAAACCAGTACCAGGTCCAACCATAATAACAGGAGTTGAATGATCAGCAGGTAACTTGAAATTTGATGGCCTAATAAAAATTGGAGCCCAGCTACAGACATGGCTTTTCTCTAAGGAGACAGCATTCTGTTTGTTAATGATAGAGATTCAGGTTACATATTAAGATCAAGCTGCACAAAGGAAAAAGGAAAACAAAAGGACCAAGATGTTCTTTGGCCAGAAAGGACCAAGATGTTGGGACTGTGAATATAATACGTATAAGAAGCATGTCTTTTGTAATTGCTACCTTCATCCAGGTAGAGCACACTCCTTTGTGAATTCTGCCAGTGGGAGTTGGACCATACACCAATGCACAAGTAACATGTACTCTTTGTGGAGCAAACCTGGATAATCATAGCGTGGCAATATTATCGTTCGCCAAATCTTTTAAGTTTACATCAGACATCTTAGATAGGTAAGATAAATTACCTAGGTGAGGATGAAATTGAATAATAACGAGGCTGTAAATGAGGAGCTATTGCAGCAAAGAACACGCCAAGGGGTGGTTTTGCTGATGGAAATTCAGCCATCACCTCAAGGAGACTTCTCTGACTTCCAATCACCCATTTAGAATACTCATCCTATAAAATGAAAATTAGTAAATTGCCAATAACAATGGAAGCATTGGACTTGAAAACAAGTAGCAGCAGTACTAGCAAATTTTTTAAACCTTTCCCTCAGGAGATGATAGGAACTTTAACCTTTCTGCCTCACTAGCTTCAGAAGCGTGACCAGCCAAAGCAGCCAAAGCAGCCTGAATGAGGAATAAAAATTCCTTATTTTTCCTTGGGAAAAAGCGGTCCCTATTTAAACAGTATAATATATTTACATAATAACAAAACAAGAAAAACTGCTAAACACCGAAATTGAAGATCACAAGAAGACCTTTCGAGGGGGGTTCAAGAGATCAGCATAGCATGCTAGGGCAGTACGCAGCATGCAAGGACCAGGAAAAGGAGGTGGCAGAGAACCTCCAAGTGAGGTACCGTCTTCATTATCCGTTTGAAGAGAAAACAACAAATCTAAATTCTGACCCAACAATTTTCCAGCTTCTTCAACCGTTTCATCACAGTTCTCAGCATAGACACCCACATGATCACCAGTTTCATATCTGTGTAAGGACAGACAAGAGTTCATCAATTAATTCTTTAACTACCAGATACTTGTGACATAAAACATCATTTTCTATCAAATTAGAGAAGAGGCTAAATAATTAATGCTGAAGTTTACGGCCTTATTATGAGTCAGCTCCTGCAAGACTATCCCACAAGACAATCATGCTCTTAGGTATGCAAATATCTTATTCACAGATCAATACTTAAACATCTGAATTCTATGAGAAACACGGCCTTTCTAATATAATGATGATGATGTGTATGTCCGCCCTTGTTGACACCATTAGAAGATTCATGCCCTTTTTATGTATGGTTTCACAGATCAACACTTAAACAATGAATTCTAGGAGAAACACTACCTTCTTTTCTTTCATTCTCTTTGAAGGAACACAACCTTCCTAATAAATAAGTGTGCGTGCTTGCATGTGTGAGTAGACACATGTAAGCACACATGCAAGCATTGTTTTCAGATATAAATAAAAGTCCATTATATTAACCCTTCTTTCTGTATTGATGGCATATAAGCATAAAAAATTTGAAACCCAGAAAAATCACCTCATCACCCATACTGGCGCAAACATAAAATAAACAAGAACAATATATGAAGCGGTCAACCAACACCTAAGGCAAATAATTCTTTACAGAAGGAAACAAGTCATGCATATCACTCCAGCAGATAAAGTCCACCATCTAATGCATTAAAGAAATTAAAATCATTAGAAACATACCATGAGAAATTATTTAAATGTCCATAATAAAATTAAAATATTATTATAAGTGACTTATGATGTCCTCTATGAGGATAAATGTACCGTAACTTACGTCATGCCGGTCCTGGATATATCAAACTCTAGATGGATGCAAGAGCGGTCAGACTCAGGTTTATGTAGCTCTCCTTGAACAGCTACCCTAACCCTTCAAGGAAAGAAGAAGAAGAAGAAGATGCATTTCTGTTTTAGTCCAGTTTGATAAGCAATAATAAGTAATAATCACTGATCGACATGAATAACTCCAAGCACCTGCAAGGATGGTGAAGATCAAACACACCATTCCCATTTGCTAGGTTTAAGTTGTTGCGATGGCATGATGTGATATTGGGATCATGAATCACCAATCGATATTCAGGAATTGCAGCTGTATAAGGAGTAGAGACCGTATTCATATCATCCTCATCTCGAAGCAATTTGTCCAACTCAGGCCATAGAGATTCCTTCCTACAAAGGCAAATCCAAATCACAATATTTGAAATCTCAAAAGATTTTAATGTCCCCCCAAGTAAATCATCAACTTCATTCCGATTGTAGTTGCAACGCAATCAGTATATCAATATAATATAAAATCTACAGGAAATCGCACTATTCATAAAACATGAATAGTGCGGCTTTTTCCTCAAACACTGCATAATGCATGAGAAATCCATATTTAGATTATATGACAATACAGTATAGAAGATTATATTACCAAGCAGCAAAGTCATCCTCGATGGATTGATCATCATCACCAAGCCCAACTGGAACAAGACGCTTTGCACCTATGGCAAACACAAAAATAATATTAGAAGACATCCATGAAAAGTATTAAAATCCCTCTAAAACTACTCATCTTATATATACATATCAGATAATCAGAACATTTGAACGGGTTGGCGTAAATAAAAGGAGACAATATACCAATTCGACAGGGATGATGAAGTTAAATACCTTGTTCACTAAGTTTTTCATCAATGACTTTACCTATCTGTTTCAACAGAATACCATCAGATGACAAATATGATGTCAGTTGTATAAAATAAAAAGGATAAAAACAAGGTTTACCTTATTAAAATGTTCATATTGCCGGTTACCTAGTCCGAAAACACCATAGGTGAGTTGTTGAAGCCAGAGGCTTCCCTCATCTTTTCCCTGAAATTAAAGGCCAAAACATAAGAATTGTTGTATGTAAACTGTAACTCTGTAAGGCAAATAAAAATGCCATTAAAATGAGAGACAAATCTTTTTTTTAAAAAAAAAAAAAACTTAGAAATAGCTATAAAGCTACAAACCTCAGTAAACCATTTGTAGAATCTAGCAGCATTGTCAGTTGGCTCTCCATCTCCATAACTGCATTGTTAGGTCCAAATACGTTAGCTGCACTATGAACTCCAAGCATGTTTTGAACAATTTTATGAAGATAGATCTTACGTGGCCAACATGAAAAATGCAAGGGTCTCTTTCGTCAGTTTTTCCTCATATTGATCATCATCTTCTGCATAGTCATCCTGATTTAGATAAATAAATCAAAAATCAAAAAGTTAAGTCAAATCCATGTTTTACAAAAGTAAGTTCTCCGAGAATGATACCGCATGTCATTATTTGGAGCCTGACAGACTTTCTGGAAGTTCCCTCATGTGGCCCACATATTTACAACCAAAATGAAGTGCTACAATTTAATTTTAATCCAACTTACCAGGTCAACAACTTTTACAGCGGCTTTCTCATATCTTGCCTTGATCTCCTCTGCCAAAGCCTATAGTAAAATTCAAAAAAGAAAAAAGAAGGTACATTGGTTATATAACAGTAGAACATAATTGCTAAAGATAAACTGCCCTCTGAAAAGCAGAGATCCTATTTAAATGAGATCACCAATCCAAGCATTCAGAAAGTCGGGGCATTAGATTCTTATTTAGATACAGTAAAGTGCAAAAGTCGCATCAACCTAAAGTTCACACATTTTTCAATTAGCTGTCTTTGAAGACATAGTTGTAATAAGGACTTATTTTTTAAATGCTCCCAGCGTCCTCCTCACCCATCCGTGCTTTTCCTTTTAATTTCCTAAGGGATGCAATATAATGCCAACACATAGGGTCGCTTCCCGTTATAGAGCTGTCGTAGAGTAATTTGATTTGCTATTAATATCGTTAGCATAGCACGCTTAAAATACTCGGAGCATAGCAGGAAGTGTGAAGTTATATGCGGATCTTCCTTCCCAAATTCGTTACCAGGGCCAGGACGAATCGACAAGCGCTAAGAGAAGCCAAGGCTTGATAATGACTCGAAATCTTCGTGGTTGAGTGTATCTTTCGAAAATGCAGGCAGGGACGCGGCCTGCGCTCGAACTAAGTTGTCTTAACAAGCACAAGGTAAGTAACACAGCATCCGATTCGTATGAGTTATAACGAAGCATTGAAGCAACAAAGCAGAAGTTGATAAAACTATTGTTTGACGGGATGGCCAGCAGAGAGTTTCAAAAGGAAATATCAGTACACCACATAAAACCACATCTAGAAGCAATTTGATGACATGCTTCCCAATTTACGTAAGACGCAAGCTAAAAACATCCAAACACCGCAAGCAGATTCACCTTAGCAAATCCCTCGGCAGTACCAGTCTGAGTACCAAAGAAGATAGTAACTTTAACCTTCCCCAAGCCCACGTCAACTTCATCTTCTTCATCCTTCACCGACAAAGACTTTGGCACCACCACCGGCTTCGCCACCTTACTCCGATCCCCCGATTTCTTCCATACAAATACCAAAAGCCCAAGTACGATAGCCACCGAGGTTGTCACGATCACCAGCAACAAATCCGAAACCGAATCACCGATAGAAATGCCCAGCTTCGATTCAATGGTACGCACCAAATCAAATTTCGAAGCCATCGTTACTAAGCAACAGATAATCAAGTCAAACCACAAAATGAAGCTCGAAATCAATTTAAACTCTCTCTCCGGTGATAAAGTTGTCGCTGCTTCCCTCTCTCTTGCTCCACCACCTCTTTCTATACGGCCGCATGAAAAAACTCGGGTGAGCCCAAGAGAAGGAAGGGATTTCCAGCGCGAGAAAGAGGGGGAAGGAGGAAGCGGAGGAAACAATCAAGACCGAAACCGTTGTGTCTGAAGAGGACCCACGAGTCCCGAGAGTTTTACAGTTAATGTTTTAAGCCCCTTGTTATTTCAGTCTCGTTAAAACGCGAAGTCATCGTTGTGTACAGCAGTTTAGCACAGCAACAAGACGAAGCAATGGAGGCTTCTCGCGGCGTTGACAACGACCTCTAAAATTGACCATGTTCTTCCCCGCGAAACCATTTCAACTTTTCTTTTCTTTTATGGTGATTGTTGGCCAGCAGAAAAGAACAGTTTTTAATAAGTCGTCTTCAGTCATCACATACCCTTTTTCCGTTTGATCGGAGCATGGTGCTCTGGATAATTTTCCTTTTTAAGAAAAGACAGTTAATTGATTAAAAATTAATTTTTTACCTGAATTGAAAAATTAATTATTTAATTCTTATGATCTATCTTTTTATTTTGATATGACACGCTGGATCTACAATTTACCCCAGTTTTGATGACCGGAAGCTTGTTGATTTATTACTAACTTTGTTGTCAGCGTATGCGCTGGAAATTACGCGTTTGCAAATCTAGGATGTTTCTAATCTATGTGACGCTTGCCATGTTCACACATGTGGTTTTATTATTTTATAGGCAACAAGAAATGTTTTATTTGGATGATAATAAAGTTTAAGCTAAAACTAAATTTTTAATTGTTGACTGTCACGAGACCGCCAATCCTGTCACTTAATTAACCCAGAACGGGGGCAAAAATCGAGTTACGCAGGTTCATTTCATTTCTTTTTATCTTCTTACATCCACTGAATCCTTATAATTTTAGAAAACTGCAGCTGGGTGAAAGCTGATCAAGGAGGAGTAAATGTCAGAACCAGTCAATTTAGTCACGTAAAACTGAAACGGTTTTGCTTTTTAGGCCTGAACTAAGCTATTTGATTGAGCAGCGACCGGAATAAATGAAAAATACTCCTCCGGTCCTTATTATAAGACCCCATTTGACTTTTTATTTGGTCCTAATTATAAGACCCCAATCTATTTTGTCTCTTATATTTATACATTTTTTTCCAAGATAATCCTTCTAATAATAATAGTTTTAGCCAATATACTTAATTAGCAAGGATATTTTAGGAATGACAACACTTATTTATTATAAATAACTAACTTAACTTACTTCCTTAATCTCCTCAAATAAATCAATTGGGTCTTATAATTAGGACCGGAGGAGTAATTACTATACGGAGAAGGAAATTAGTTTATCCTCAAAGTTTCAAGAAACAAAATTAGTCTATCCCCAGCGTTCCAAGGACAGAAAACAGGTTCATCTATCTATAAAGCGTGTTTTCTGTGACAAAAAGCATAGATGGATACGTGAGTAACATCACAAAGTATGCTAAATTTAATTATTTTACCGTCTCTCTCTCTCTCTCTACCCGCTACATTCTCTTTTATGTCCTGCGGATATCAAGAATTAATTAAGAATGGAACTTTTTATTCAGACTATTCATGTTAACATAATTTCGAGATGTTAATTTTTGTTCTAATATAGTATTCTTCTGATCCTTAATATATAATATAATTGTTGTGTTGATTTTGGTCCTAAATATAAGACATATTTTTTATATTTATCAATTTTTTTTAAATTACCCATGTGGATACTCCCTCGACCATAACCAAGTAAAAGATGAAGGAAGGATATTAAGAAAGATGATCATAGTATTTTGGAAAAAATATGTCATATTTCTTATAATTAACTAACTTATCTAACTTCCTTAATCTAATTAAATTAGTTAAATTGGTCATATATGAAGAACCAGAGAGATATATGAATATGGTAACTCTGATTATAAACAAAAACTGCGAAATAGTGTGTAAATTATGAAATGTACACAAGGCGCTGGTGGGAGCATGTCACTGTTACATTATCACAACTCGAAACAAGCACAATTAGAAGCGTGACAATTCTATATGAAGTATAAACCACCAAACAAACCAAACCACCTGACATGTGCCCCCAGTGGCTCGCCCCAGAAGTCCATATGACATTAAACCCACAACTAGTGCCCGCTACACACGCATGGGAAATGCATCTTCCTTTTCAATTTTTCTCAAGCATAACTCACAACTATTCCTAATTCCTATTCAATTTTATTAGTTTTCAATAAATTAACGTACCCCTACCAATGAGTTAATCGTTGGGGATAATGAATACATTGCAATCTACTCCTCCGGTCCTTATTATAAGACCCAATTTGACTTTTTATTTGGTCCTAATTATAAGACCCAATCTATTTTCTCTCTATATTTATGTATTTTTTTCCAAGATAATCCTTCTAATAATGATAGTTTTAGCCAATATACTTAATTAGCAAGGATATTTTAGGAATAACAACACTTATTTATTATAAATAACCAACTTAACTTACTTCCTTAATCTCCTCAAATAAGTCAATTGGGTCTTATAATTAGGACCGGAGGAGTATGTTAAATCTTGCAATGGATTCATTATCCTCAAAGAATAACTCAAACATCACCAGCCTGTGAAACTATAATTAAACACACATTTTATAAACTATGCATTATAATATAACCACTTCTATTGTATTATTCTTCAAACAATACCCCATTCTCTTTCCAGCTTATTCTTCAGCTGTTCAAGTTCTTTCGGCGGAAGAGCCACGGTGATAATTCTTCCATTACCCCCACCGCCTTCAGCGCTATCATCTCCCTCTGGCGCCGGAAGCACTGAGACGACACCCTCATCGCCCACTCCGTGAAAAGTACAGTTCGCCAGAACAGGTTTCCGGCCATTCAGTTTCACGTTATAAAACTCAGCTCCTTCCAGATCGACAAATGTCAGGTTCGCTCCGTAAACCACGAAATCCCCTTTTCCTTCATCTTCTTCCACCATCTTTTCCATGATATCATTCTCCACCACCTTCTTCTCACCAATCAGTATGGCCAATTCTGACACGTCGGATTTCTCCACCGCAAAATCGGCTTCCACTTTGCTGAACACCAACCCATTTCTCGGCGATTCATCTTCTTTCCGTATAGATCCATTAGTACAGATCGTCACCGCATTTAACCCAGAAGCATCACCCCTTACGTGACAGAGAGATTTCCAAACGATGGCGGAGAGAATTTCAAAATACGATGCAGGAGCAGAAGCATTTATTGTTGTTGCCAAATGATCGAGTTGTTTCGAGGTGACACGGAAAGAGTGGTTTTCGACTTTTCTGTGATCTGCAACTAGCCAGTGTTCTCCGACGTCAACGGACTTTTTCATCGACATCGGCTTATCGGAGACCGAAGGAGGAAGCTCGGGTTTGAAAGGAGTCGGCGCCGGAAGAGACCTGGGAGGCACGTGACCCGCCATTATCCTGCTCCAAAGATTGATGAAGTTGAGAGCAGAGAAAGCATCTCCGAGAACATGTGGCCAGCTGAGGCCAACGGTCAATCCTCCGCATTGAAACCTTGTGAACTGATAATTATGTCACGGCAGTAGCAAAACGTTAATTCATCAGTTTTTTCATTTATACCGAATAATAATGAAGCGATTTACTTCATCATATCAGTCAATATCTGAGAATAATATTGCAACTCCTGCTACAACAATAGCCCAAGCATATATTCCAATTTTAGGTATGAGTGATATTTTCTGATGGAAAAATGTATATAATTAACTTACCAGCCAGTATTGCCTTAGGCAGCTCTGGATACATGGCCCTGCGTTGCAAGGTGTAAATAGGAATGTAGGATATACTTCCTTTCTTTTCTTATTTACTTATCTTAATTTAAATTTATATCTTGTCCTTAAATATATTTGTTGTTCCAAAATTTAAGGTATAATCATTATTTATTTGACAAATTACCTATATTAGATAGATGACATCAAATGGAGGCAATTAAAATTTAAATCATGATGTTAAATAGAAGATAGAACTGAAAGAAAAATAATTCTCACATGGTAATTAGCAAATTTTTTCCTTGTTCGATCTGCTATATTTTTCACGAAAATAAGTAGAGAGGAGGATACACCACATGCATTTCATGCACCATGCAAAATTTCAAATCTGGGAGCCGTCCTAAAAGTACGTAAAAGTCATCCGATCTAAAAAGTTACTCCCTCCGTTACTTATTATAAGAGACGAATAACCGAATTATATTGATAAAAAAAACAGTTAAAATTAATTAAGAACAATCAATGTGTAAAAAGTATATTTTTTTCCAAAAATGCCCTCATTAATAAGGAGAGAGAACATAATAGAGAACAATGGTAAATTATTAAAAGAAAAGGAAGTGGGAAGGAGAGAGAGTGTGAGTTGAAGACAATAAATATGAGTAAGATAGGAAATCAACACAAAAAGATAAAGACAACTTTTAAATGTCTTTTATATATAAAAACATGCTATAAGTATCAAATGTCTCTTATAATAAGGAATCGAGGGAGTAAAACGATAGCATTAGATGTCTAGGATAGCCGTAGGACCAACAACTGGCATTAAATTCCGATCCCTCCCTCAGATTCCTCAAGCATCAAAGGACGGCAATAATGACTGGTGGAAATATGAAGCGTCAGTTAGAAATCAAGTATGGAGACAGGCAGCACAGTGCACCAGAGGGCCTTGCGGCTGTTTTCAGGAATGGGTCGAAGGCAAGAAGGCGACGGTGGGTCGCAGAGTTGAGGCTTATTTTAAGAAAAAATTACAATCAATTCCCATAAAAAAAAAATTATCAAAAGGTTTTAATAACACAACCTCAACAACTTATAATGACAAGTTATATAGTGAGAATAATAACATTTGGGACTTGCTTTTTAATTGTTTTTCTTATTTAGGACCTCATTATAATTCTCTTTTATTTTAATAACAAGGGGTTTTGGATTTTAATAATGAAAATATATATAACTTAATTAGTTTTATCATAAATTTTAAGAACACAATAAACATATTTTTTTAAAAATCGACGTCTATCTCTATTTACACACACGTATTTCTATCTTCATTTTCACTTTAATTTTCTTATTCGGCGTACCAAACCGGCCTAATTTCCTTCTGTCGTAGCTCACTGATTATGAGGATCACACATTAAAACACATCCTGTCTATATTTAACGGGGAAAAACTCCAATCATGAAAAACTGAAAAAGTATAGTACTATTTTAGCAATGAAATAAAATATTTCTATCATTTACGCACTACTGACAGGCCAACAGTT